GTTTTTCGTTTATGTAAATTTGTAATATTAGACAGCCTATGATTATGATACAAAGGCAAAATAAGTCTAAAACCAATCTTTTATTTTATTTTGAGGTTTGAATGAATCACACAAACATGATCTTACAACATAAAACGAATATTAAACTAAACAGAGAGAGATGCATTAGGTTAGCACAAAAATTGAATGAATAGAGAATGTTGTTATTATGGAGAGTTGATAAAAGATACATTCATTGTACATACATTTTGAGAGAAATCAAAAGTGGATGCCTAAGCGGCGGATCTCAGAGCGGAAAACGGGGCTGGAAGAGAGAGTACGATGAGCCAAACTCCGAATGTCTTCTCTTGAGCATTCCTTTGATATTCTTACCAGTTCCCACAACGCTCCTCCGCTTATCATCTCCTTCGCATTCACCTCTGCCCCACCCACCGCCAAACACTCAACATCAAGACAAATGTTGTATTTGCATAATTATAGGTTGTGACCAACCAAAAGAGAGAAGGATGGTTGGTACTCACCATGTTGGGCTAAATGGCATAAAGCGAGCTCTATGTGGCGCCTGATTGGTGCAGCTTCATCGTTAGCGTGTTGTACTATCCACGGAAGTGCTCCGTCTTCTATTAGCAGCGATCTCCCACTCTTCACACCTTCATACCACTCTTTCTTCACATCAACCTCCCCAATAATAACCATTTTCAAAGTAAGAATACTGTGTAAGAGCTATCTATATACCTTGCGTGGTTGCTCTGGATTCACACTTTGCAAAATTGGCAATTCCGCGAGCCACCTGAGCAAGAACATCCGGATGTCCGCATCTAACCATTCCTAACAACGCTTTTATTCCACCATCCGACCATAGTCTTGCTTGAAGTTTGTCTGCCAAACCCAATTTTATGTTTCAGATTTTTTGCTCTTTAGAAAACAAAAACGTTGTTGGGGTGTTATTTTTACCGTTGCCACAAAGATTGGCAATAGCTCCAGCAACCATTCGTAAGGTCTGCGGATCCTCTGCATCTGCAGCTGTTAGCGCTAGCAAGCTGATTCCTCCTTGGTCAACAATCAGTTGTTGGCTCACTTCTGTTACCCACCCCACAAACAAAAATAAAATAAAAATAATGAGCCTTGTATCCCATACAAACAACTACCGTGTTTCTGCTCTGTCTTAACCACTGATCAGTAATGAGTTTACCGTTCATTGCGAGATTCGCAATTGCACCAGCCGCAACTCTTCGGACAGTTTCATCTTCGTAACTCCTGAGAAGCATCAGCAATGATACAAGACCTCCAGCTTCAACGATCTTTTCCTGATTTGCCTCTGCTTATCAATCCCGTAGTAAGTAGGTCAACTATTGAGAGAGGACCTAGAGCAGAAATAAAAGACACTGAACCCTTAGAAATGATGCAAAACTTACCTTCAGCTGCTAGGTTGGCCACAACTTTCACAGCATGAATTCTGATGTTTGCATCATCTGACTCTAGCAATTGCAAGATCTTTTGTAGACCCACTGTTTCAAAGAGTATGGAAAGTCATAAGGACCACATAGACACTCTTAGTTCATACGTTTTTTCAGAAGAAATTCTCATTACCTTGTTCACATAGTGTAGCAAATGGTGCCTTCTGTCCGTTCACAGATTCTCGTGCTTGGGAATGCCGTGATGGTAATGAGTCCGTGCCAGAGTATGAATTACCCGGTGCATCTCTGTCCAAGCATCTTCTCATCTGGAAGAATGATACTCAACTGTTAGATGACAAATTCATGAGACTCAAGGTTGTACTAAAATTATTGCTATCTAGTTACACAAGAAGCAGGCTAACAAGTGATATCTGAAAATGTGTCTCATACTCGCAACAGCTAGATCAAAGATGGAAAATCTTTTTATCTGATGTTTGGAGACAATTCCAATTACAGCAAGCAATTAAAGGAGAGACCCATTCAGATTACAAAAAATTGTACCTGGTCAGCTTCAAAAGTAAGCTGCACAAGCTGACTTCGTAAAATGGTGACCTCTTCTTCAAGTTTCTTTTTCTGAAGAGCCTCATCCTCCAGCAGCTTTTGTAATCTTGATATTCCAGCATCTTCGCCTTCCTAAAACGCCAGAGGGATTGGTTGAATAGTTGAGAGATATGTAGAGAGAAAGAGAGAAGTTGAAGACTGGGTACCCCTGATCTTGTCTTCAGTGTTGACTGGCTTCTTAGTTTGTTAACTTCCTCTTCAGCTGCCTTCCTTAACTTTATTTCTTCCTCAAGTGATTCTTTTAGCTTAGTGAGTTCAGCAGTTGTAACAACACTGTTGACCTGCAATGCAAAGTAATAAACATATAAGTTAAAGATGCGCACCTGAGAAGCATATATAATGACAGTTGCGTGGGCAAGTACCTCTCCATTGCGTTTACCATTCTCATGGTTCCGTTGGTTCGTGATCAGTTTTTCTTCAAGCTTCTTAACTGACTCCATATATTCCATTTGACACTTAAGTTTTTCCTTCTGTAAACAGAACATTAGACTTCAGAAGGTAGCGAAACCAAAAACGGGTTGGCTAAATGGATTACAAATTAACCAACCTCCAAGGCCTCTGCAAAGTTCTTTTCGACTTCTGATATACGATTTTGTGCTTGTTGATTTATTCTCTCCACATCATCATCAAATGCTTTCAGCTGCCTCTCATTTTCAGCAATCACCTTATCAAGCTGGACCTCAAGCTTCTTGGACAAACTCTTGTAATCAAATTCTTCCTTAATCTTTAACATATTCTCTACCTTCATTGCCTGCACAAGATTTAAAATACTTAAGGACTTGCTCATTAGGGATAGGGGGTGAAGTTAGTGAAAACCCACCCTTTGACCAAATAATATAGTACTTGTTGTCTCTCCTCTATGACGCGGAGAGGGACCAATTGTCACAATTAGGGATGTTCTTGCTGTGCCTGAAACGCAAGGAGCAGGTATACGTGAAATGATGATAATATAACATATGAGGAAATGTAGAAGATAACTAACCACCAAAAGAATCTCTCAACAAGCGAGTAAGTTTAGAATCACGAAGTGGAACATGAGGGCTATTCTCAGCAATTGCATTGATGCATTTCCCTAAAGCACTAAGAGAGAGATTAATGGATTTAGCTTCCTCCAGCATGTGGCCTTCGCTGCCTGCATAGCGAGAGAAAATGCCATAAGAAGAGGTTCGTAGTGATAAATGATAAAGAGAAGGGTGGGTATATTACCAGACTTGTGAACACGTTCAGAGCCAGCAAGATCAACAAGAACAAGCTTGCTTCTTCTGACGAGTGGCTTTGAGGGTCTGACAAAGTGAGATGAGTTGTCAGTATCATTAGAGACGGAATCCTCGTTTTCAACCACGGACCTCTTGACATGAACCTGAACTATTGATATAATGCATCAACGACTCAAAAAGGGCAAAGGAGAAGGGATGAGAAATGAGGGGTGGAAGTTAATACCATGAGAATAGCATGGCTGCGGGAAGATTCAGTATTCAATTTAGTGTTGGCAGCGACTCGATGTGTTTCGCCAAGATGAAGAAGCTCGAGGAAGTTTTGCTGGTTCCTGATCTCAACATGGGTGGCACCTGGGAGGGAGACATCACCAGTTTTAGGGTCCTCAACAATGGCAATATTGTCGTTACTAGGATCAAGGAGATCTTGGATGGTCTCCATGTAAAGCTGGAGCGAGAAGAACCAAAAAAATAAATAGTGAGAATAAAAGAAAGAAAGAGAGGGATGGTTGAGAAAGGGGAACCTGGAGATAGGAGACAGAGATAGAATCAGTGTCAAGAGAGGTGCCAGAAATGATATCTTCCATAGAGCGAACCATGATACCACGAGCAGCGGTATCTTCATCACCTAATCTACCAAGGGTGAAAGTCTTGCCAGTACCAGTCTGACCATAAGCCATGACGGTTCCATTGTAACCCTCAAGAACACTCTATATATATATATTTTTTTAATAAAAAAAACCAGGGAATTAATCATCACGAGTATATTATCTAAGATAATTAAATGAAGGAAAAAGAAAGAAACCTCAACAACAGGCTTGGCGACGACTTGATAGACGCGCTTCTGGGAAGCAGATTCGGTAAGGACGTCATCGAACTCGTAAGTCTCAGTATCCCAATTGTTTTTCCTGAGTTTAAGCCTTTTAAGCTCAGGTTGCAACTCCACGCAATCCGCAAAATCAGCATCTGCCACGCACTCGTCTGCATTTCGAGGCCGCAACCTTACCGCCACTCGAACTCTCCCTGGCACTGTTAAAGATGTTAGCATTTTGGATCTAAGTAACTGAGTTGCTTGCTTGCTTGCTTCGAGCTCAATTAAATAAAACTCAAAATAGGAATGAGGGATAAATAACCTCCGTTGTCTCCTCCTCCTGCTCCGAGAGCAGCAGAAGAGCTGCGACGGGGAAGAGGAGCGGAGGAAGGAATCCTTGATTTGAAAGAAGAGGATCTCAGATTTGAGGAAGTAGCTCCCGACATAGGTCTCATGGATCCTCCTCTCGTCCCACCATTTCTCGATGAAGAAGAAGAAGACGCCATTGCCATACTCTCTCTTAGTATCAAAGATTACAACAGCTGAGAGGCTCCGCTCGCCCCCTCAATCAATCAATCAAAACCAAACCGAGGGCTTTTCTCTTCTTTCAATTTTAGTTTTGGGATTTTTCCTTTTTATTTATATATTAAAAATAAAGAAAACAGTGATGGTAGTAGTGGGGGAGGATGGCGGGGCCCACAACTCGGTCTGTAATTTTTTGAATGAAGACAGAGACAGTCGTTGAGTTTTATTGGGTCCTACTCAAAAGTACCGTCTTTCACCCCTCAACTAGACTAGACTGGTTCAGTCAGCTTTAATTGCGCCGAACGGGATCCGCCGACCACACTGAATTTACCCCTGAATCCAGGCCCGGTTTGCCTTAGCCCATTTACATGATTTTATAGGCCTCGGCTGATGGCCCACGTCGAATTACACTTCCATAATTTTGTTACACATTACTTATTTGTTTTGTTTGGGTTACAATACTCTTTTTATGGTTACGTTTCTAAGACTTCGAAACTCTGTCAGGAGATGGATTCTAAACTTCGACAGTGTGAGAGTGAGGAATAATAAACAGAAAATCCAGTACAATTTTATTTTTAATAGGTGAAAACGAATAAGGCCTGGGTTTGCCGGCAGCAGCATCCAGACTTCTTATCAACCAGCAAGTGGATTGGCGTGGATTGTCACACGGTTCAGCCTTATCTCAGCTAACGGCCTATCCCCTGGACCTGTTTGAGTCTGCACAATCACATCACTCAAACTCATTAGATTCTCTTAAACAAACTCAGGTCAATAATCTAAATCCTCCTACAGGCAAGAAACACACAAGAACTTGAGGGGATATTATGAGAGTGATTAACCTTTTCCATAATGTCAAGCACTTCGAAGCCATGAATGACTTTGCCAAAGATGGTGTACAATCCATTGAGATGAGGTTGTTTGGCGTAGGTAATGAAGAACTGGCTTCCGTTTGTGTTTGGGCCACTGTTTGCCATTGAGAGCATCCCTCTTGCATTGTGCTGCCACAGTGATAATAAATAATAAATGAAGAGAATGTGTATCATGAGTTCAAAAAGGGGGTTGGACACGAAGAGATATAGATAAGGGGAATAAGCAACATATACATATCCATGGAAAACCAAATAGGTCCTCAGCAGACAGGGATGTGACAAGTTAGCCGAAACACGATGATGCTTTGAAATGGATAAAAATGATTTCCTAAGTAAAAGAAGAGTTGTTGTGAGCTAAGAGAATCCTATATTATTTGTGGCTGGCTGCTAATAAAAGGCTAGGCAAGGCAAGACACAGTCAGTATATATGAAGATGATACTCCTTTGGCACAAATTAGAGAAGGGAGATGATGAATGAAGAAGAACCTTAAGGGAGTCGCGAATCTCGTCATTGAACTTCTTTCCCCAGATGCTAGTTCCTCCTTTCCCAGTCCCGGTTGGGTCTCCTCCTTGAATCATGAAGCCTTTTATGTTTCTGTGAAAGATAGTCCCCTCGTAGTACCCACTAGCACACAGAGCCAGAAAGTTCTGCAACAAAATTAATAAAAAAAAGAAAAGATAAACATTTAGCTGGTAACACTCAAGCAAACCTAGTTTAATTTAGAGAGAGAAATTGTAAAGGGAAAAACAAGTAACCTCAGCACTCTTGGGAACCTCATCACAGAAGATCTCGCACTTTATATCCCCCAGATTCGTGTGCAATGTTACTGACTGCGCAAAACCAAAACCAAGTCAATGAAGAAACATCCCTCCACAGTCTTATCATTATTATCATGTGCAAAAAACTACAAAATCAAAAGTCTCACCATCCTTGGAAGAAACTAGCGGTGCTTTGAGTTGCTTTCCTCTTCCTCTCTCTCTCGCTTCGATGATGCTTTTGCTCCTTACTTCCTTGGGTCTAGATATTTCTGCAGTCACCTACGGTCGCTTCCTTGAAGTATTGGGCAATTTATGGGCCATGTTAAAGGTAATCATGGGCCCATTAAGGAAACAATAATCAGCAGCATCGCTTTATGCTTTGATTGATTGCTTTCAAAACCAACCCCCAATTGTTTGTTTGTACGTGTATTGGTCTCATCTCCCAATTCACATATGGCTACCACCGATCCGCCATCTTCCGCCGCCGGCAGTGACAAGCTGCCTCGATCGATTTTTGACTTGAATGTGGATTTCTTTGACTCCTGTGGCTTGTTGAATCCTTCGGTCCGGTTAGGACCAGTGCTTTCACCCGCTTTGGATCCGGAGGAGAGTTCGAGTTCGAGTTCGAGGGAGGGCAGCGGCGTCATTTTGGATAGATGGACATGTAACACTTGTAAAATCGAGTTCGTCTCCCTTCACGACCAACGCTCCCACTTCAAGTCCGATCTCCATCGCCTCAACGTATTCTCTCTCTCTCTTCTTACTACTACTTGGTTGGTTCGTATTATAATTGTACATCATCCTACTAATCACTGGATTCCATTTTGATTCTTTAGATCAAGCTGAGTGTTGCTGGAAAGGCTGTTTTGAGGGAAGAAGATGTTGATGAGCTGACATCTGAGTCCGTCCAAGACTATGATGTGTCTAGTATCTCTGGATCAGAGGACGAATCTGAGCAAAGACCACCCTTCTTCCATGCTTTTCTTGATAAAAAGAAGCTCTTTATTCGCCTTCAAAGCGGTGACAAGGTTTCTATCTGGAAAAGCTTAATCATGGACGACGCTGAAAGAGTTTCTTACAAGGATGACAGAGGAGGACTTTCTCTTGATGATTTTTATGGGAGCTTGGCCGACACTGATGTCACTGAGAGGCTTAGGAATTTTGTTAATGCGGATGATAGGCGAATGTGTGTCGTGTTGCTTGCAAGTGGTGGCCACTTTGCTGGGACTGTCTTTAATGGAAAGTCCGTTGTCGCTCATAAGACATTCCACAGGTTCCTCTCTCTCTCTCTCTGAGATCTTGTGCAATATCACAGTATGTTATCTTCTCTGAGTCTTGTGTCTTCCTTTCCCATGTATGTATAGATACGTTGTAAGAGCCAAGGCTGGGAAAAAGCAGTCCACAAAAGATGGGAGCGGGGGAAGTATCCACTCTGCCGGTGCCTCCCTTCGTCGTTATAATGAACTTGCTTTGAAAAAGGTTGCTTCCTATCTCATGTTTATATACTCTAAAATTTGCACATTGGCTTCATGGTGTAACTCTTGCCATCCCTTTTCAACTTTATTAGGATATACAAGAGCTACTTGCTAGCTGGAAGCCTTATTTTGATGGCGCTTCTTGTGTTTTTGTCCATGCTCCCTCTAGCAGTAGGCAACTTCTTTTCAATGCAGGCAAGCCCTACTTTAGCAGCCAAAACTGTGCTGTACGAAACGTTCCATTTACTATCCGGCGGCCAACCTTCAAAGAATCACAGCGTATATATAATCAGTTGACTCAGGTTGCATATGTAACTGAGGAGATTTTTGTTAATCCACCAGAAGAAGAAGCCAAAGCTAATATCGTGGTGCACACTCACACTGAGGATTCTGTTGAAATCTCAAGACAGGATGAAACTTCTTCGACCAGAATAATCTTAGGGGAACCAAATGTTATAGAAGAGGATCTCGGAGATGTAGTTACTGGTACGTCAACTCCATTACACGAAGCTGCTAAATCTGGTGATTGTGAGAGAGTTGGGAAGTTACTGGAGGAGGGTATGGATCCTTGTGCTAAGGATGAAAGAGGCAGAACGCCATACTTGCTTGCAAATGAAAAGGAAGTCAGAAACGTTTTCAGGCGGTTTATGGCTTCAAACCTTGAAAAATGGAATTGGCATGATGCTAAAGTACCCAGCCCGCTCACCAGCGAGATGGAGGAATCTCAAGCTGCTAAGCAGGTACTTAACATATGTTGACTTCAGAATTCTGTAGAGGATGCCGCAACAGGCAAACATAGGACTAGAGTACAACTCCTCTCTTTATGCACTGTTTTCTTAGGTTAAGCTTTATCGAGGAGATGTTTTGTGTGAGGGTCCAAATACAGTCATTTATATGGTTCTGGATGAAAATTATGCATTCATGCTCCCATGATTTTTGTGTTGAGAGACAGCTGTATTCATACGGGACGCTGTCTGAATCCATCATGTGACTAACTTGATTTGTGACGATGATGATTGGTACAGGCAGAGAAAGACGCCAAGAAGAAAGCAAGAGCAAAAGAAATGAAGAAACTACGAAAAGCCCGAGAAAAGAAGGCTCAAGTAACGTGTTAATCAGAGTCTTATACAAAACAAACTGGGCAGTTAACTGGTTACCTAACGCTCCTTGTTGTGTTTACAGGCAGAAGCTGAGCAGGCTGAGAGGGAGAAACCCATCTCTAAAGTGGTGAGCTTCACAAACCCCAAAATGTATAAAAATATGATTGGTATCTAAGGAGAAGAGGCGTAACATTTTGTTTTCTTTTCACAAACTTGTTAATAGGAGGAAGTGAGAAGAGCAATGGCGGCCGAGAGGGAAAAGAGAGCAGCGGCTGCAGAAAGACGGATGGCAGCTCTTAACCTTCAAAGCAGTTCCACAACAACACCATCATCATAGGTAGAGCGACGACGAGCATTAAACTCACATTCTGTTCCAAAAAAAAAAAAATTCCATCATCCTGGTTTCAAATAGGCTTTTTAGATATTATAGCTCTTGCCGAGGTTATGTAAACAATAAATAATAATTTTTTTTGGTATTAAGTTCACATATTTTGTCGTCTATTTTCCCATAATTTTTTTTTCTTTTGGTTCCGATAAAAAATTTAAACCAAATTGGTTTACAAATATAAGCAAAAACTAAAGAAATTGAATTTTATTATTTCTTTTGGTCAATTTGAATTTTATTATATATCAAGTTTTGTAGGAGTTGACAAAAAAAAAACAAAAAAAAGTCTTGTAGGAAATATGGTATCACGCTTTAAAAGCTTACAATACAATAATTTAAGGAAGTCTCCATCCTTTTATTCAATCTTAAGAAGAGATTAATACTCAACAATGGTCAGAGGAGAGGGCTAAGTGAAGGGCATGCTCTGCTTCTTTCAAAAAGAGTCTAGTGAGTTGTTTCTGGCCTCTACGGTATACCACACTTGACCACTTGTTTCTGCTCATCATCCTTTTCCCCTTCTCCTCCTCCTCCAACTCCCTATTATCATTACATATTTTTAAACCAACATGTTAATAAAGAAAGATTATGTGTACTTCTCTGATTAAATTATATATATTTGTTTAGATTAGGCATGCCAACAACCCCTTCCTCTGATATTTGAACTGTCTATTGTACCTGGGGTGATTATGGCTCTCCAGGACGCATGCATCCTCAAGGAGCCCAGCATCTTGTTCTTCACTGCCGGAATTCTCTTCCAGCTTCATCATCCTGTCACCCAATGAAATGCATCACTTACTTGATATAGACAAACTTGATGGTTAGCTCTTGATATACCACGCCACATGTAACGAATTCAATTTGCTTACTTTGCATTAAGGAGATCCACAAGCAACTGCAAAGCTCCAGAATCCCCGCATGCTTCCCACACCGCCATCCTCACCTCAGTTTCACTAGGTTGCTCCTCTGGTCTTGACTCTACAAGCTTTCACCGCGACAATGTATATTATTATACTCTTTGCCTCAATAAAAGTAATATCAAGTGATGATACCTCTTCAAGCATAGCTGAGACCTTGTAAATCTCATCTTCTTGCATGGCAATGGTCCTCAAGCCAGTCATAAAATCTTCTGGGAATACTAGCTTGTTCACATATGAGGGAATCTTACGCTGTCCAGACCAACTGAAATTACAGGATCTAGCAGCTGTTCCCTTCTCATCGCTTTCTCTGACTTTTGATGTGGTTTGTGGGAAAAAACCATGATCCAGGAGAGATTTTGGCAGGAGACACCGGAGTTCAGCTTTCTGCAATGGGAAATATTCATAGTTCAAACGATTGTATATTAACAAATAAAGTCAAAAATCCAGAGTTTGAGTAAGATAGTGCGAAGACAGTTATACTGCTAACCTGAGCTTCAAGAATCTGTCCCTTGGAATCAGAGAAAGGGATGCTCGGAATGGCCTCAACAGGATAATGTACCTGAATGTATCCAATGTTATTCCTAACAGTAGATGTGAAAACAAATTTGAATAGCATCTTTTTGATCTTCAAACTTCCTTAAGAATCATATATAATAATACTACCATGAGATAATCATCGGGATTGTTCTCTATCACAAACCCGTACAGGTAAAGAAGCTCCTGCATACAACAAGAAGACACACCACTCAAACAAAGAACTAGATGTGATAATTTACAAGCAAAGACCTATTTAGATCAATACAAGATATTTAAGCAAACAAAACGACATATTTGACTGTAAAATGTCTTACCTCATTTCCTTTGTTACCATAACTGATCGTGATCTCCTTGTCTAGAATAGGATTTTGTGCAACTGTTCAATATACAGAATTGTGGCACTTAGGAAAAAGGAATGTTGGAGATTATCTGATAGATATAGGGTGAAAGTGAGGGGTAAGGCAAAAAGTAGATTGGTCAACCGGAGAGAAGATACATGGAGAAAGGAACTTTAGATACAGATCCGGTCCCATCAACTTCCCAAGTCGCCACAGGCTTCAAATCTATACTGCCATAACCGTCGTACATCATATCACATTACACCAGGAATATATTTATCCACCACATCAACACAATGAGACAGAGAAACAAAAACAGAGTGTCAATTTATGGTATTGGCATTACATACCATGGTTGCAAAAGTCAATGCCGGGAACAAGCCCCTCAACCCACACAGTATCTCCGGGTCCTACAGATGCGGTGGCAGGGACTTGATCATGAATCTCTACCAATGAGAAAATGAAGAAACTCATCAAGTTTTTGGTGAGAGGGCAGTCGTATAAGGAAACAAAATACAAAGATCAGACAATAATGACTTGCCTTTTTGATGAGAACTAAGTGGATCCGTTGATGGGCACCCTCCAACAACTTCTTGGTTTTGTGGAAAGACGAAGGAATGTGGAAGAGGAAGGTTCAAGGCACGACTCCAGAACACAGAATTTGCCCTGGCGCAACGAAAAAAGTCATCAAGATCACTCAGGAGCCCTTTTGCAGCTCAGTAAAACTATTGGCTTTAGTATAAAAAAGAAAGAGCGAACAAACATACCAGAGGAAGTGTTCAAAGGAAACATTGCTGCAGGAAAAGACAAAAAAGGAAATATGATTGGGTGTCCATCAAGAACAACAAAGTAGCATAGAAAATGTCAAAGCCTGTTAACCTTTCAGAACAGCCATCCAAAAGAAGAAGCTTTTTGAGGAGGGGCTCCACTTTGTCATGGTAAAGAGAGAGCAACTTCTTCTTCTGAAAAAGGAAGGCAGGAAATGAATTCATCTTCAGAATTATTATTATATATGGAAGGAGAAAGAAGATAAAGAGTTTGCTTGTCAAAAGAATAACCTGTAAGAGGGTAGCGTCGTAGAGGTTAGTGCCTTTGAGCTCAAGGAAGTCATCATCGGAAAACCAAAGAGGATTGCCATATCGAGTGGGAAGCATGTCAAGATACCTACCACCCACAGAGTGAATTAAAAAAAAAATCAAAGAAGAAAAGTGAATATGTTGAACGAGCACCAAAGAAAAGAAGAAGAAGCTTACGGCTTCCAAGAAGAATGAGGGCGAAGACGCTCGAAAGTGAGGAACAAAATGATGAGAAAGCGGTCATCGACATGACCTAGTTCGAACATGGAACGACACTCTGGACCGAGGAGAGGGTCCTGAAGGACTCTCATTGGTGTGATTGCCAATTCAAGCGGTACAACCACCAATACATCATCATCATCTGAACACTCAGAAATATAATTATCATAAGTATTTTTTTAGAGATAATTATATCACATTTTCGGTAGAAGCATCTTTACCGTGGTCGGAAGAGCCTTGAGGGGAGGCGAAAATGCCAAAACCTTTGGGGGAAGAGTTGATGGAGCAGCCTCGTAACTCAGCTCCATTCACCTGAAGCCAGTCTATGAACACTTGCCGCTTCTCTCTTTCTGTTATCACCGCCTCCGCCGCCATTCTCCGTCTACACCAACCAATTCTCTCACTCTCTCTACTGTAGCGTCTATATAAGTTGAACGATCGGTCGGTTATAGACTGAACCAAAGATAAACCGGATGCAAAACCAACCTAAGATACTCCTCTTTTTAATCGATATTTGTGATTTGGTCAAACCAAGAAACTGAACCGGGAATCCTCGTTAAGGTGTTTCTCGTTAACCTCTTTTCCATAGAGCCAAACTAAAAGCATTGGAAGCGAAGAAGAGGAAGCAGTGAGAGAGAATGGCGTCGGATATGCCGGAGGCGTCAGTGCAGAACATTCTGGATCAAGATTCTCTTAAATGGGTTTTCGTTGGTGGCAAAGGAGGCGTTGGGAAGACCACCTGCAGTTCCATCCTCGCAATCTGTCTCGCTAGGGTTCGATCTTCCGTTCTCATCATCTCCACCGATCCCGCTCACAACCTCAGCGACGCCTTTCAACAACGCTTCACTAAATCCCCTACTCTCGTTCAAGGATTCTCCAATCTCTTTGCCATGGTATCCCTCGATCTCCCTTCCCTCCCTCCCTCCCTTAGATCCCTAACTGATTTGATCTACGAGTTTTGTGAAATCGAATTTCAATCTGCGTACAATTATTAGCTCGATTTTGACTTAGTAGGAGGATTCGGGATGATTGATTTGCTTCTGCATCAATTTCACTCTCGATTTATTTATTTGGGGATTCGGTTTGATGTGGAGGCCAATTTAAATTTGAATTTGACATTTTACTGTTGTTTGCAATTTCTCAGGAGGTGGATCCTACTGTTGAGACTGATGACCTGGCTGGTCCTGAAGGGATGGATAGCTTATTCTCTGATTTGGCCAATGCCATTCCTGGTATCGATGAGGCCATGAGTTTTGCTGAGATGCTCAAGTATCTATCTAACCTCCTCTTCTTCTTCCCATTTACTATTTATGTGAGTGATATATCTTTAAGTCATTCTTTTCTTTTAGGTTGGTCCAGACAATGGACTATGCAACTATTGTGTTTGACACCGCTCCTACTGGTCATACTCTCCGTCTCTTACAGTTCCCCGCCACTCTTGAAAAGGGCCTTTCCAAATTGATGTCCTTGAAGAGTCGCTTTGGTGGCTTGATGAATCAGGCATCTCTTTCTTAAGCTTGTCTAGAATACTCAATCATTACTCGCTCTTTCTTTTTTTCTTTGGCTCATTTTTCATGGAACAATTTGCAGATGAGCCGTATGTTTGGCATGGAAGATGAGTTTGGGGAGGATGCTCTCTTGGGAAGACTTGAGGGCTTGAAAGATGTCATTGAACAAGTTAATCGTCAATTTAAAGACCCGGTAACCATTTTCTTATATGCTTTCTTTTCCCGTGTTCTTAACATTTTCTTCATTCTGTTCACGGTTTTGGTTTTGTATTACTGTACACTTCCTACTATACCTGTAATATTTCTATATATGTGTCACTTCTCTCTTTGGATTTTGTTGCTTCTGCATTGGTGAAGATTCTGATTCTGCAATTTGATATGCCTGTTGCGCAGGATTTGACAACGTTCGTTTGTGTCTGCATCCCTGAGTTCTTGTCTCTCTATGAAACAGAGAGATTAGTTCAAGAACTCGCAAAGTTTGAGATCGACACGCATAACATCATCATCAACCAAGTACTGTACGATGATGAAGGTGATTACCCTTTTTGCAGATTTTTCTTCCACTTATCTTGTCGTTTCCTACTTGTTTTTGTGTACTTATATCACTTGCCAATGTTGTCTACTAGATGTGGAATCCAAGTTGCTTAGAGCAAGGATGCGAATGCAGCAGAAGTATCTTGATCAGTTTTATATGCTATACGATGACTTCAATATCACAAAACTTCCTCTGCTTCCGGAAGAGGTAAGAAGGCATGAGACTCAATAGAGACGATGAGGAGCATCATGAGATATAAACTTGTTGTGGGATGTTTGAATTGACAGGTGACAGGGGTGGAAGCCTTAAAGGCATTCTCGGATAAGTTCTTGACGCCGTACCATCCCAAGACAAGCAGAAGCAATGTAGAGGAGGTGGAGAGGAAAGTACACACATTGCGACTGCAGTTGAAAACAGCGGAAGAAGAACTGGAAAGGATCAAGAGTTGAGAAAGATAAGGCTTTGTTCTATCCCAATGTTTCTGTCTCAACCAGATACTCGGAACTCACTTGCTTCCTACTTGGCAGACTTTTGGATCTAAGCTTCTACTCGTTTCTGTTTTTGAACAATTTATAGGTGGAAAAAACTACAAGGTTTCTTTTTTTTTTTTTTGGTGTACGTACTCAAATGTCTCTCTCTAGTTCTTCATGTGGCAAAAGAAAAACTCTAAGGGATCAAACATAGTAATCTTTGGAAGCATTTCTTCAGTCTTTATGTTGCATTTGTTTCTACACTATAGTCTACTCCACTCTCTTTGAACTTTTATATCTGTCTCTCTCTTATTTGATAATCAAAACTTGCACTAGTACAGAAAAACGTCATGAGTTACACAAAATGGTTGGAAGACCAGGGTGGGCGTTGTGTTGGTTCTTTCCTTTACTCTTGTTCAAAATGGAAAAATAAAATTTCGGGGCTGGTAATTGGGCTTGAGCCCACCTAAGATGAGCCCAAAATAGTGGCGGGTGATGAATCCCATATAAAGAAGAAGCAGATTAGGTAGAAATCGAGACTCCATAACGGTAAGAAGAATATATTTGCCCTTTTCTCTCCTCTCTTTTCTTCTTCTCGCTCTTTGTGAGTGTGTTCGGCCGTTTGCAATTGAAAATTGATAATTGATAACTGATAATTGAAAATTGAATAGATGGGTGTGGGAGGAAAGTTCTGGGATTTGCTGAGACCTTATGGTCGACAGGAAGGTTGTGATTATCTGAGGGATAAACGGGTGGCCGTTGATCTGTCCTTCTGGATCATTCAGCACGAAACTGCCGTCAAGGGTTTAGCCCTGAATCCTCACCTGAGGCTCACCTTCTTCCGAACGATCAATCTCTTCTCCAAGGTTCTTCCATTTTTTCCCTTGTGACGCCATGCTTCAATTCGACTTCCGAATCTTTTGTTTTTGTTAGGGTTTATTTATAAGGTTGATTGTTGGTATTCCTCTGATTGATTATAATGCAGTATGGAGCGTACCCAGTATTTGTGGTAGATGGAACACCTTCACCCTTGAAATCTCAGACCAGAATCTCTAGGTTTTACCGATCTTCTGGAATTGATACCTCCTCCTCGACTAGTCTCCTCCAAGAGGGCCTCGTCTCCGTTGAGAGAAATAAGCTGTTTTCTGAATGGGTTACCGAATGTGTGGTAAGTTGTTGGTTGCTACTTTTCGTTCCCATTTATTATTATCTCCCTTATTTAAATTTGTTTCTTTCTTATTCTGTAGGAGCTACTAAAATTGATGGGTATCCCTGTTCTGAAAGCAAAAGGAGAAGCTGAAGCTCTCTGTGCTCAACTCAATAGCCAAGGTTTTGTCGATGCTTGCATTACTCCTGACAGTGATGCTTTCCTCTTTGGTGCCTACTCCGTTATCAAATCCATCAAGCCTAATTCACGAGTATAATTTTCCTTCTTCTTATTCCACTCGTTAAATGGTTTGGCCTTTCTTTTACTGATATGAAATCGCATTCTGTGTTAGGAGCCATTCGAGTGCTACCATATGTCAGATATAGAAGCTGGCCTCGGTCTGAAGCGGAGACACTTGATAGCCATCTCTCTTTTGGTTGGTAACGACTTTGATTCCGGTGGTATTCTTGGGATTGGTCTCGATAAAGCACTTCGCATTGTCCGTCTCTTCTCTGATGACGACATTCTCCAAAGGTCTTTATTTAATTAATAATTCTTCCGTAACTTTATTGTTTCTGTGACTGACCATTTCCTGAACGTATTTGGTGTAGACTAGAGGACATTGGAAAAGGGTTTAAACCTGACGTGAGTGGTGGAATCAAATCAGTTGATGGTGAAGAAGAATCCAGCTCTCAGATGAAAAGAAGACTTGCTCATTGTTCTCGTTGTGGACACCCAGGCAGCAAGAGAACTCATTTCAAGTCCTCTTGTGAGCATTGCACCTCTGATTCCGGTTGCACTAAGAAACCATTGGAGTTTATATGTGATTGCTCCTTCTGTTCCAAGGATCGAGTTTTCAAGGAACAAAAGAAAACCGAGAACTGGTGGAGCAATGTGTGCGGTAAAATTGCCCTAGGCCCAGATTTTCCCAACAGAAAGATTATCCAACTCTATCTATCCGATAGTTTCACAGGTACGAAATGATTTAATTAACTGTATGTAATGTGCCTTTTACATTACATGATTTTTGTTTTGAATCCTAAATTTTAAAGTACAGAAGGTGGGTCTTCAATGTCTTGGGGAACTCCTGATACCGAAATGCTAGTGGATTGCATGGTCTTCAACCTGCACTGGGATCCTTCTTATGTTAGAAAAATGCTGCTTCCCATGTTGTCGACCATTTATCTAAGAGAAAGGGCAAGAAACAGCAACAACACGGGAAATCCCTTGTTATGCGACCAGTACGAGTTCCATTCAATCAAGTGCATGAAAACTAGATATGGGCATAAGTCATTTGTGATGAGGTGGAGAAAACCCATACCTACAACTGGTTTAACTCCAGAGAAACCGATTGTTGTATGTGAAGATGAAGTGGTGGAAGAGAAGGAGTGTGTTGATGATCCCTTAGATGGGTTAAATGAACCACAAGTGCAAGATGAAAACGGTGAATGCTTCTTGCTAACTGATGAATGCCTAGGACTTGTTCAGTCTGCTTTCCCGGAGGAGACAGAGCACTTCCTACAAGCAAAGGTAATGCGAACGCTTTTCTCTCTCTCTCTACCTATCTAATAGATATTTATATAAATTGGTTTTGTTTTCCCCCTTTGGCTTATTGTTTATTGGTTAAACTGTCAGAAACTGCGAGAGTCGAAAAAGAAGAATGTTTGTAAAGGAGGAGGATCATCATCAAATTCAATGGGTGCACAAAAAAGTATAACTGATTTCTACCGTTCAACGAAGGCAGCAGCAGCAGCAACACCAGCTCAAAGTATAGACGTAGAGGGGAGTTCAATAGCTTCTGCAGAAAAGAAGAGACAAGCAACTAGTAGTAGTAGTAGTAGCTTCTCAAAGTCTGTAAGGCGTCGTCTTTTGTTTGGATAGGATAGTAACATAACATACTCTTTGTTATTCTTAGTAAACCCAGTTTCAGGTCTGTATAAAGGGATTAGGGTGAGAAAAATTAAACCCAGTTTCAGGTCTGTATAAAGGGATTAGGGTTTGAATATTTTTGCTCTAATGTACTAAGATCATCTTTTTTTTAGTTAGAGACTTTTGCACATCCATTCATCGTCGTAAGTTAAGAAATTAACTTTTGTTTTGTCGAAAATGTAAAAAAAAAATAGAAGAAAAGAAATGGTGCTGCCCAGGATCGAACTGGAGACCTTTTGCGTGTAAGGCAAACGTGATAACCACTACACCACAGCACCTTATGATTAAGTATATCTGCTGTATTTTGTAGAAAGTAATCATATTGCAAATGAATGCGGATTAGAAGAAGAAAACAAGTGAGAGTAGAGATTTGGTGTTTATTGGGGAGCAAAGAGGTGGAAGATGAGTGTGGTAACAATAACCATCAATTCTTCGCCGTCATGGATGAACAACAGAGACAATTCTTTCTCACTGAGGGAAACCACCGCCTATTTGTCAAGGCGGAGGAGGAGCTCGAGTGTATCTCTGAGGAAGAAGAAGAAGGTGTGTTGCGGAGCAAAGAGCAGAGATGATGATTACCACGCAACCCTCAAATCTCTCAACTCTCGAGGCCGCTTTCCCAGAAAATCCCTAGGGCAGGTGTTCCTTCTCCCCCTTTTCTCTTCCACATAATTCCTTAGACAGTTAATCTGCTTCGTTGAGACAAAACACCTTGTGCTCATCTACACAATGATTGAATGAATGTACGTCTGTTTGTGTAATGACACAGCATTACATGCTGAATTCGGACATAAATGATGAGCTAGCTGCTGCGGCAAATGTGAAAGAAGGAGACTTTGTGTTGGAGATTGGACCAGGGACTGGCTCGTTGACCAATGTTCTTCTCAACTTGGGTGCTTCTGTTCTTGCCATCGACAAGGTTTCCTACATTTTGTTTCTTTACAAGCCTTGCAGCAGCGATTCTTGATTCTGATTTTTGTTTTTGCAACCTAATCTTATAGGATCCTCATATGGTGGATCTCGTGCGTGAAAGATTCGCAGGTTCCCACAAGTTCAAGGTACCACCGGTCCACCACCAACAACAACTTGTGTGGTTTGGTTTTGCTCTTACGTGATCCAAAAAAGCATGATTGGAGAGAGATTTCTAAGTTGTAACATTATTCTTCATGTATCCGTTGTAGGTTTTGCATGAGGATTTTGTCAAGTCTCACATCCGCTCTCACATGCTCTCCTTTTTACAGACTAGAATCTTATCTGATCCAGATTTTGCTCTTGCAAAGGTTTTCTCCCTTTCTTTTGGGCTCTCTAACTCAGCAACCTCCCATATACTGTATCTTAATCTTTGATCGTTTACATTAGTGTAATTATTATTATTGCAGGTTGTGTCCAACTTACCTTTTAATATAAGTACTGATGTTGTCAAGCTTCTTCTTCCTATGGGGGACATCTTCTCTCACGTTGTTCTCTTACTCCAGGTTTTCTTCTCCTCCATCCTTTTCAAATGATTATCTCAATTGCTATATTATATAACAATTTTGTTGGGGCTTATCTTAGGATGAGGCAGCTTTGCGATTGGTTGAGCCAGCTTTGCGAACATCTGAGTACCGACCCATCAACATTTTGGTCAACTTCTATTCTGGTACTACTTGTTTCCATTTTTAACTCTTTGCAAATCTGGTGATCGTGTTAATTAATGTGCTTCTTTGCTGATAAACTGCTTTCTTTGTTTCAAGAACCGGAATACAATTTCAGAGTTCCTAGGGAAAACTTCTTCCCTCGGCCCAAGGTACTTACTTTGTTTCGAGTTTTGGATCTCCAAACTATGCCTACCAATTGTATATAGTTGGTTTTAATCTTGTGGGCTGCTCTCTCCTTGCAGGTTGACGCAGCTGTTGTAACATTCAAACTGAAGCATCCGAGGGACTATCCCGATGTTTCTTCCACCAAAAGTTTCTTCTCTTTGGTTAGCTTAAACTCTCTTCACTCTGCTTCTTAGATTTGTAAGAACAACAACAAAAAAGAAAAAGAAAAAGAAGCTGAATCCAATTTTCAAAAAAAAAAACAGGTGAATTCTGCATTTAATGGGAAGAGAAAAATGTTGAGAAAGTCACTCCAGCACCTATCGTCATCTCCTGAGATTGAGAAAGCTCTTGGAGTAGCAGGTCTTCCAGTCACTGTAAGTAAATCTCGGTGATGTGTCTTCTTAGGGAGCGAACCTCATATCAGTAACCACAAACGGTTTACATGAATCTCATATCAAACTCATATATATATATATATATATATATATATATATATATATATATATATATTAATGTCGCAGTCGAGGCCTGAAGAGCTTACGCTGGGTGACTTTGTGAAGTTGCATAATGTAATAGGCAGAGAATAGAAGGTGGTCCATGCGTATCCGAAGTTTACAGGAAGCCAGCAGAGAACAAAGCAGCATGAGGCAACTGAAAATGCAGATGAATATTATGACCAATGTCCATATAAGCAGGAAGTAAGTAGAACGCAGATCTAATCATGTCCTTGTGGAACTCTCTGTATGGTGTAAAATTGTAATATCACAAAAATGATAGTGTCTTTACAATGACAAAAGCTCAAGTAACCTTTATAACGGAGAATTATAAAGATCATCATCCATTACTGGGGTTACAAGTTACCAGATTTCCCCTAAAAAGCCCATTGGGTAATTAATATAAATATTGGGCTTTATATTATAAGCCCATGAGGTTGAATATTATTTACAAAGAGAGTTTTGTAGTCAAGTATAGCCTAATCAAACCAAGAATATCTCATTTGGGGAGAGTGATTTATATTATTAAATTAAAGTTTTGGTATCGGGCGGAGAGAGTAATTCCATTCATCTTCTCGACTCTGATTCAATCTCCTCGTCTGCACCACATAGATCGATCATTCGTAAAGGTGAACACACTTGGGATCTCTAATTCAAGTTTTTGTCTTGTGAATATCTGTGTGTTGTGGTTGTAACTTGTAAGGTTAGGATAAAGATTTAGGGCATTGACTTGACTTTGGTTTATGAAATGAAATAGGAATTGAAGATGAGTAGCAGCCTGGAGACGGCGAGAGCAGAGCTGGGAGTGGTGGTCTTGTATTTGAACAAAGCGGAGGCGAGGGACAAGATATGTAGAGCTATTCAGTACGGATCCAAGTTCGTGAGTGATGGACAGCCTGGCACTGCGCAGAATGTGGACAAGTCAACCAGCTTGGCCAGAAAAGTGTTCCGTCTCTTCAAGTTTGTGAATGATCTGCATGCTCTCATCAGCCCTGTTCCCAAGGCCACCCCTCTCCCTCTTGCTCTCCTCGGAAAGACCAAAAACGCATTGCTCTCTACCTTCTTGTTCCTCGATCAAATTGTCTGGCTTGGCAGGACTGGCATTTACAAGGTAAAACAAGACTCTCTCCATTTTTTTTTTAAATAAATATAGTGTAAATCTTCAACCCCTAAGGTTTCTGTTTTTTTTGTTTTTGTTTTTGAATCTGCTGCTGCTATAAGAACAAAGAACGAGCTGAGCTTCTTGGACGTATTTCCCTCTTCTGTTGGATGGGTTCTTCCGCCTGCACGTCTTTGGTGGAGGTCTGTTTATGTATGCTTTGCTTCAAATGCAGGCTGTAGTAATGTCTACTAAGCTTTTCCAAATGTTGTTTTTTTGTCATAAATAGATTGGGGAGCTTGGTAGGCTCTCAGCTTCAATTAAGAAGCTTGAAAAAGAGATCGGCAACAAGGATAAACACCAAGTAAAGCAGCTTCCCCTCTATTCAAACCATTTTTATTCTCCTAAGATTATGTATGCATGCTTGATTTTGTTTTATATTTTTTGCGGGGCAGAATGAGCAATACAGAGCGAAACTACAGAGATCAAACGAGAGGTCATTGGCTCTGATCAAAGCTGGAATGGATTTCGTTGTTGCTTTCGGTTTGCTTCAGTTGGCTCCCAAGAAAGTCACTCCCCGTGTCACTGGCGCTTTCGGTTTCGCCTCCTCCCTTATCTCTTGTTATCAGGTAACACTTTTACTTTTACTTACTAATACATGTGTTGTAGTCTTGGGGACTAAAAGCCACCATCTATCTTTTGCTTTTGCAGTTACTGCCAGCTCATCCCAAGTCCAAGACGGTCTAAGAAAGAAAGATCAAGTAGAGTGTCCTAGTCTCCTCTGGATGTCCCATAGTGTTGCATTAAGTACTTTTGTGTTTGATTTGTCTTTAAATACTTTTATTTATTTATTTTGTGATAAACGTTTCAGTCTTCTGTTTGGGGAATAAAATGATAAACGTTTCAGTACCAATCAACACTGGAAAATGGGCAAAGAAGAAGAGTAAAATAATACCCCACACACTTGAACAAATTTGTTCATAAGGTTTTTGTATTTATTACCGACTGTGTCAAACAAAACAGTACAATTGTCCTCCTAATATATTTGATTAAAGGAGAATACTATTAATTGAATAAAACTCCCTCCAAAAAGACCATCATCAGCCAGATAGCTTACATTAACGAGTTAAATGGCCATCACAAGAATGTTAAAGTTGTTATTAAAAGAAAGAAAGGCCCAATCAGATGGCGAGTGAACCAGTTCCTTCGATGATCTGGTTCTCCTCAGTTGCATCCGACGTTTGACTTTTAGGCTTAGTCGTCGTCGTCGTCGTCCTCGAAAAACCATACCCCAGAGAGCTTCCGCTTGCTTCGCATAGCTGCCATTATCGTTATTCACCCATTTCCCAATACGAAATCAGTTCTGATTCTCACAAAATAATTTTGTTTTTAAACGTATGAACTTGATCCAAGGTAGATACGTACCTCCGTTAGTTCAGACAGGTGACGGGTTCTGAACTCGTTGATCGTGTTTGCGATTTCTGAGGTTGGTAATTTGACCTGACAAATGTTTTAACAATGATCATACACACTTGTCTATTATTATTTCCATAGACAAATTATGTTTATTACCTGAGCAAGAACAGCAGCTGCCAACTGTAGACTTGGCTCCAGCGTCTCCGGTACAACCTACCCAAATTATTTACTTTTGTAATTTAACAGTGTACGTACGATCAAGAAAAACATATGAATGGGAAAGTGAAAGAGTTTGGGAGGGAGCATTACAGCAGTAGCACCAGCTTTTTCAAGATTAAGACCATGTACAACGTCGTGTGCACGGACGAAGGTCTTCACATTGGGGTAGTACTTGCTCAGAGCCCACACACATCTGTAATTTGCTCCTGGTGCGTCTAAAGCAACCACAGCAGCACATGCTCTCTCTGCTCCAATTTTGTGGAGAACCTGTAGTGTTCCCACAAGTAAATTAATGTTCAAATGCTGTTATAATCTGAAGATGTCTCATGCACTCCTTTTTGTTTTGTCTGTGTACCTCTTTACTACCAGCGTCTCCAAAATAAACAGGGAGGTCCAAGGAACGGGCGATAGTCACTCTATCACTGCAAATAATATTATGAGGTATTCAGGTAAGCAAACAATGTAAAAGTGGAATTTTATATCAGAGACGTTAAAACGTGATTGTGGAAGTTACTGACCGTGCCCACAATTTCGGTTTATCTAAAACCACAAAATGATCATACAGCAAATAAATTGGCGATGTTATGTTACCTACTGACATCGAGGGCAACGAATGGGATAAGTCTTTCTGAGAGAAGCTGAGCAATTATCTGCAAGTAACAAATATACAGTGGCCAATAAGTTAGAAGCTCCCAGAATACNTGTGGAAGTTACTGACCGTGCCCACAATTTCGGTTTATCTAAAACCACAAAATGATCATACAGCAAATAAATTGGCGATGTTATGTTACCTACTGACATCGAGGGCAACGAATGGGATAAGTCTTTCTGAGAGAAGCTGAGCAATTATCTGCAAGTAACAAATATACAGTGGCCAATAAGTTAGAAGCTCCCAGAATACCCTGTGACGCAGACTATCTACACAGATGATCTCGTCCAAAAAGCAATAAGCTGAAGAACTTCAGATAATTTATAAAACCTGCCCAACTCGTCCAAATCCGCAAATTATTATGTGATCCTGCAAATCATCCGTCTGCAAAATAAAACCAGACAAGAATAAGAGAGACTAGACCTGAGATAGCCTTGTAATGATTTCCTCAGCCAAAGAATGTGTGATTTTAAAACACTAATTCAATGACTCACAGAGTTAAAGATTCTATACACATATAATCAAGATTCCTACCTCACTTTCGACCGGCAATAAACTTCTAACGTCATGCAACTCAAACCGGGATGCAATTAACTGGCCACCAGCAGCTAACCAGGGTGTGATTGCCATTGATATTCCCACCACAAGAAACAGCAACGAAGATAGCTGAGGAGACATTATACCCTGGAAGAACAACCGGTTAGGCCTCTTGGGGAAAACAGTCAAAAGTAATTACATACATAATGTTGATAACAAACCTGATTGACAGCTTCTCCAAAAGCAACAAATGCAAACTCTCCACCAGGGGCCAGAAGAAGACCGGCTCTAATTGCAGATATGACTGAAATTCCGAACAACTTGCCCATGAGAACGACTAATATAGTCTTGCCCAATATCAAGAGTCCCAAAGTCCCAATTACGACAGGGAAGTTAGAGAGAAGAAGTTTCGGATCAATAGACATGCCAACCTGAAAATAGTAGACTCCTCTTTCAGTCTTTTTTTTTTTTTTTAGTCTTGTGACTGTGCTTACTTATGTTTACAGTTGAAAGAAACATCAGAAGTAAAACTTCTTTCACCATCCACAGTTTCTTGCTCTTTTCAGAAATAATAAATTGTGGAAGAAGTTATTTCAAAACTCATAAATTACCGTCATGAAGAAAAGACCCAGCAGAAGACCACGATAAGGAGCAATATCTGATTCTACTTGCAAGGAAAACTCTGTCTCCGCAAGGAGTAGACCAGCCAAAAACGCTCCTAATGCCATGGAGAGTCCCGCCTGATTTACAGAAAGTAACATTTAGCAGAAGAGAAAGAATGGCATGGCGGAATAAATGTAAAAGCCAAATACCAATAAGATGAAGATCATACCCTAGCTGTCAGTAAACTAGTCCCAAGGATGACAAGAAGTGTGTTGGCAGAGAATATTTCAGCGTTTCGATTTTCTGCAATCTGCTTGTAGATTGGTCGAAGAAGCTGTGGGCCACAAGAGTGTCAATGCCTTAGATAAGATCTCCACGGGAACATTATTATTGAATACCCGAAGCAGCAGTGATACCACAGAAAACTTTCATGAGAAGTCAATGATAACATATTATGTAGCAAATCTAAAACACCTTACAACTTCAGTAGTTAACTAAATTCGGTATCTGGCACCTCAAAACCTAAAGTATCTGAGACTTACAAGACGGCCCCCAGCAATTATGGCAGTAATAGCAACTGCTGCTTTGACTGCAGCAAGCCCAAGAGCCTCAGCAATGGCTTGAAACCCAATCTGAGAAGAACAATTAGAAACTTAGCATTTTCCTACCATTTATACTTCCTAGACATCATTGAGTATATACAAATATCTGGCACTGAACTACACAGCTAGCCGTACACAATTATAAGAAGGAACCTCACAAATGAGCTTACCCCTCCTTTCGATGAATTAGGTGAAATAAGTGGGATGAGAATCAGTAAAACAACTACAGCTAGATCCTGTGAAAAAATAGCAAAGTGATGAGAAACTCCCAGCATAGCTTTCAGTATGAACTATGCTCTGAACCGACCTGAAAAAGCAAGACGGAAAATGTAGCCCGTCCATGTCTAGATGTACTCTCGCTCCGTTCTTGTAGAACCTGATACCAAGTACATTGTTTTGGTTCAACAAAATTCCTTTCAGTAAGATAGCTATCTGAATGCAACCAAAGATGTCACCTGAAGGACAACAGCGGTGGAGGACAAAGCCAGGCCATTTCCGATAACTATTGCCGCTGGACCAGCCTGACCAGCTACGTAATGGGCAATCAATCCAACTACTGCCGCTGTCACCAGAACCTAGGTTACAAAAAGAAATGTAGACTGGGAACCTTGGATACAGAACTTGGATATATTATGTAGAATGAGATAACGGGATCTGGTCAAATCACCTGAGCCGAGCCTAATCCAAAAACATACTTCTTCATGGAACTCAGTCTTTCAACAGATAGCTTTCAAAGGAAAAGAAAACAAACTATTGGATCTTCTAGCAAACACATATCAAAAGTAAAAGCACAGCATAAGTGTATATCAAATAGTACCTCAAGGCCAATGTTAAAAAGCAAGAAAACAACTCCAAATTCGGCGATGGCCTTGGTTGCGTGCACATTACGGATTATTGAAAGACCATAAGGACCAATCAATATTCCAGCTGCCAAATACCCAAGAACAGGGCTACCTATACACCGAAGCAGATAAAGCCATCAAGACAGCACAAAAATCTCTATGCAACATGATTGTGAGACTGATAATGGTTTTGACTGATGAGGACACAGAAATTTTAGGAGTCTGAGGGAAGGAGATGCATTGGAGAAATAACCAAAAAAAGGACGTCCACTAACCTCCAGGAATTTTCTGAAATAGAGGAACAAATATGACGCTTGCTAGGAGTAACCACAAGAAATCAAGCAAGGAAGCTTCTTCCTCATTAACCTAATAATTGCAGAAGTTTCAGCCTGCAAATTACATTCCATACAATTTTCTTGGGACTTGAAAAAAGAACGAGAACGATCATTCATACCTCCTGGTGAGGGATCATCTCAAGTAGTTTCTTAATTCTCTTAGGAAGTTTCTGCACTTGCCGTATCAACAGCTTCTTATTGGAAGAGACATCTTCTGTACTAGTGTTGATAACATCTGGCTGTTGAAGCAGCTGATTGCTCCCCCCTACTCCATTGGAGTATAATGTCAGTCTGGAACATTAAAGAAGCTCATAATCAACAAAAAGACCAAGTTTCATGTACTAAAATGATCCTTCAAAAATAATGAAAAAGAAGATTAGATTTTGAAACTGACCCTGCGCCTAGAAGTGCAACCCCAAAAACGAGCTTGGGCCATTGTTGTTTGACGGAATTAACCAGACTTGCAAAAACTGTTGTGGTCCCATCCGCGTTGGAAGAGAAGAAAGATGCAGAAAAGAAACGGGAGGATTTATTAAACGATCCCTTAGGAGCATTAAGAGAAGAGCCCTCTTTTGGCAGATCTTTCTGTGTTTCCTGTTTTTTCGTCTGACCAACAATCTTTGACTTTTCAGAATCTGATTCCACCACTTTAGAAAACTCTACACTTGGCTTTCCATTCTCATGATGGCTTGAATCAGAAGACTGCGATAGTTTTTGAGCCTTCGGAGCAACTTTATCAGCCAAATGATCAGCTGTGTTCTGTAGCGGTGATATATCGTCAAGTATTGGTGATTCTCTTTCAACCTGATGGCTAGCATCTTCAATATTACTTAGGAGTACCACCTCATCTCCGAGAAGAGTATCTTCATCCGAGAGTTGGACCTGAGTTTCTTCTGGGGTCTGCGAGGTGGATAGAGACTTCTCAGCTATCTGCAAAGCAATCTGTGCATCATTAACGCGTTGAGTAGCCTCAAGCTCAAAAGCGACAGCTTGTTCAGCCAATTTCATGATATTTGCAACGTCCTCATCAGCTTTCAAGGCATTGATCTGTAAAGTCTCGGCAAAGTCATTCAACTTGTCAACTTGTTTCTGCAGGTCGTCTTTTTTGCTCTCCAAACTACTCAGTTGGGCCTCACAGCTTGCTAGATTCAGTTGGCACTGTTTGATGTCATCCTTGGCAGCTAAAAGTGCTTCTTCTTGGTCTTCAAGATTGTCTCTTTTCCCAGACTCTTGGGACGCTTCTGGAGCAGCATTCCCTGCATCAGGTTCAAGAGATTCCTCGAAAATTTGAAGCCTAGCTTCAGCGAGAGATAAGGCCATAGTAGCGTTTTGAACAGCATCTTTAGCAACAGACTGCTCATCGACGGTATCACGAATGAGATCAAGGGTTTTGTTAACCTGAAGCCAGACACCAGCGGCTTCATCCTTGAGAGCGATGGCAGTTTCAGAAATACGCTGAGCCTTTTCCTCGAACATGGTACTGTTGAGCCTAGCAACTTCCAAATCTTTGATAGCCTTGTGTAGAACATCCCTGAGTTCCTCCAAGCTATCAGTCTCGTTTTCCACAGTCACATGTTTATCTTCAAATTGATCATTAGTTTCTGAGAATTCCACATTATGACCAAGAGAATCATTACTTTGACAATTTAGCCTAAACGCAAAGGGGATATTATGCTTAGATTGGGAGGAACAGCCAGGTATTGATTTTGAAGAATGCAAAGGAGCACTCAAAGTCAAAGGACCACTTTGAGCTGCATTTCTCTTCGATCGATGAACAAACTGCGATCTAGGATAAGTCTTCAGAACCCAGAGTCTATTATTGCTGATTGCTTTGGGACTTAGCAGGCGATTTGAAAAGCAGAAACTGGTGGCACCGTCGCCAGAATGAAACAAGCTCGGCCGCTGAATAATAGATGCAGATTCCATGTGGATTCAATCTAAATTAGTATATTGCTTTGTTCCTCCAATCTTATATACAACACCCCTCACTGTGAAACAAAAATCGAAAAAAATCACAATCAGAGTTGAAACGAAAATCAGAATCGGGAGAATGAGATATGAAATGTAAAACTTCAATTCTATACATGAAACGAAAACAATCGTAAAAGCGCCGGGAGAGAGTGAGAGAGAGAGGAGACTAACCAATAACTCTTAATCATGCGAAATGGTGAAAATAAGCAAGCTCAACTCTAAATCCAAGTAGAGGGGAGTGGCTTCGTCAGAGACGCCGTCGTCGTCGTCGTTTCAACAGATTTTTTTGTCTTTCCTTTTCTCCGGTCAAAGTATATTGAGACTCTCCTCCTCCAACCAAACCAACCACACGAGTCCACAGCAGGTTTTATTATATTTTTTTCCGTTTATAAGAATATTTACCAAAACACCCTTCCTCGTCTCGTATACGTAAAACAAAATCAATACTTGTACAGACTCACATCATCCCATAACCACATCACTTTGGTTTCATTCGGTATATACGCATGCAAAAGGCATATACGTTATTAACAGATATTTTTACACAAATGTGGATCTTATTACATATCAGGAGGAAATATCATTTAAAACAAACATGAATATTCCTGAAGATTAATCAAGCTTACCAAATGACGACTCTTCCAAAACTACTGTTAGGACCATCATCAGCAAGTTATAAATGCCACCGGATAATCAAATTAATTTTGCTTTCTTTCTTTCTTTGTGTGTAAATTTATGGTATAAATAACGAAAACAAAAATATCAAATAAATGTCTTCATATGGAAACAACTCATTACAAATCAAATCAAATCTTTCGTCGTCAAATTCATCAACTTAATAATGCACTCACACAAACTCAAATTAAAGGACCATGCATGTTTTTTTCTCAAGACTGTGAATCGCCGTTCTCTTCCTTGGCTTCGACGGCGGCGACCTCCTCAGTGGTCTCCGGAGGAAGAGTGTTACCTGAGGCCGTGCGACGGTGGTTGGCGGATTTGAGGACGTGGGCGTAGTTGCCTTTCTCCAGGAATAGTTGGTTAAAGTGATGCCGGCAATAGAGAACGCCGTCCAGGGAAGCGTACGAGGAATGAGTCAGCATGCAGCCACCGTGAGCGCACTTGAAACATGTCTTGTGGAAGCATTCTCCTTCCATTTGCACCTTTTGTTTATATATATATATATCAAAGACACTGGTTAATTAACCCAACATATACGTACTTAATCCAAAAGTGGATATTCACTAAACCAATTGATTAATCCACACTTTCTTGGACCAGACGTTAACAATTGCAAAACACAAACAAACCTTTTCAAGAGGGTAAACAGTCTTATCACAAGCAGCACACTTGTCTTGTGTTCCACAGAAGATTGAAGATATCTTGCTTGGAGTCCTAGGCTGTATTAATGTTTGATATCAATACATTTAAATACACAGATCCTATGTTGGTCAATAATAATCAGAAAGGGAAAAAAAAAAGAAGAAGATCTGGAGAGAAAGAGAATTAATGAACGTACCTGCTCGGGCCTCTCAGTTTTTCCTGAGAAAAAAATGAACATGTGTTCAATCATGATGGTTGTATATGTTAATGTAGAAATATTAGCTAGAGAAACTATATACTGCTGGAGATACATATAATAATTATAAGAACGAACCTGGTTGGAAATTTTTGCTGAAGTTGCCAGATTCCTTGAAGAGTTGCTCAAAGTGAGTCTTGCAGTACAAGACTCCATCCATTGAGGAATAGTTGCTCATCTGCCATATGCATCATCATCAACAGTTTTTCATACAAGAGTATTGTTTCTATATGTGAAATTATCAATCTACCATGGCAATACGGCAATGAATTAGTCATATGTATATAGAAAATCTAACACACAAAAATCTAAGCAAAAAAAAAAAAAATTGATGAACCAAAGAATCTTGTAAGTGAATCATATATATATATTAATTACCACAAGGGTGCCCTTGCAATGGGTGCATTTGAAGCAAGACTTGTGGTAAGGCATTCCTTCAATGGACAACATGTCCATCACATAGACTGTCTTATCGCAAACATTGCATTTGTCAGTTGTTCCTGTGAAAGACATTCTTTTCTTTCTTTCTTTTTTTCCTTTCTTTCTTTTCTGGGTTTTGTTTGTTTGTTTGTTTGTTGTTTCCTCCTCCTCTCCAAGATCCTAAATGAATCAGATCAAGAGAGATCGTCTGAGGAAGCAATTAAAGAATGAAACCCCACAAAAGAAAAAAAAAAAAAGAAATTGACAATGATTTTTGTTTTGGTTTACCTCAGACAAAGGAGGAACCAGCGAAATTTAAGTCTTCTTTTATACAAAACTTTGTTGCAATCGTGAGGCTGTAAACGGAGCAAGCTATCTTCTCTCTCTCCTTGTGCGTTCTGCAGAAATGAATGAGATAAAATTGGGTGGCAAAAGTGAACGGAGTCGAGCAAAAGAAGGGATTGTGGTTTCTGAATATTTCAACCCATCGAGGATGTTACTTTAAGCTAGCCAACTGTCTCTGAGTTGGTGCAACCCATGTCATATGTTTTTAAATAAAACCTACCAAAGGAATATTAACAACCTAACATTATACACACCTTTAATATTTTCTTTTGTCAATATAATATGCTTTCTATGCGTATATATCAAGATGTCCGGTTGTAAATGGAAGCACTTTCTATATTATATTTAATTTAAAGTGGAATAAACAGAAAGTGAAGCACCACTAAAGTCGATTTCTTGAATAGAAATATATAGTGTAGGACAAGTCTCATCTGCACAAACATGATTACCATACAATTATTGATTTGAATAAAGTAAAAACAAAAGTAGTGTCATAACACAACTTGTTGACACAAGATGAGATCTGAGATTGTCTTTCCATGTCTATCAATTCTCCTGGAACAGTTGACTCCCCCATCTAACACGTTCCGTACCACAACATTCAAAGCGTGAATGCCTTTCACATCATATATCTCTACTGAAACATTTCCATCGTCTGGTTTCGCATCCATCTCCACAAACGTAGAGGTTGATAACAGTACTGACATAACGTTTTTAACCCATTCTGGAGTAATGATGAGTTTCAGACGCTCTATATCTGGTGGATAGTGCGGGATTAGTGAGAAGTTTATGTCGTTTCCTTTATCACCTGCCCTGCTATGCGCAACAGAGTAGAGTGGGATCTTTTGGCCAGATTGAGCAGGAGAGCGATGAAATCCAGATGAATCCGTCCATTGTTCCCCTCTCATTTTCAGGATATTTTGATTTTCAAAAGAGGTCTACAAGTGGAAACAAATACCAAGCTGTTAATTGATCATTATCTAACCGACTTGACCAAGTACATTTTTCACTGACCTTTCCCATTTTCACTAGAGCAACCGGAAAATGATGTTCAGAGATCTCTGACTCGGACGTGTTGGTGTGCTCAATTCCAGTTTTCCACATTACAGATTCACGGCTTACCTGGATAACCACCAGAGATATAACATCAGAAGCCGAAAAAATGTTTTATGCAAGGCTATATTAGTTATAACTCTACGAGGGGAGACTACGTACCAAACGCTTTTCAAGAACAATCTCCATCTTGTGTCCGGTACTGCAAACCACAAGCAGCCAAGTCAAACCACAAGAAGGCAATCCAGAATCTCATATTATTATGCTCTCTTAACAAATAACTAGTTCCATTACATTGAGATTGCCCGGATATAGATTATAAGATACAAATCAACTGGCTCTGATATCATGATGCTACAATATGAAGTGGATAGTGAAACGGCTGTAATTTATAGCAAACATCAACGTGAATGAAGTACCTAATTCCACCACCACCAGCTGGTCCGTTTGTATATAAAGCAGTAAACTCTTTCGTTAGCTGGACCGCATGTTCCTTCAGTTTGAAAAGACCATCCATGCGTAATCTTATATCTCCACAGGGATTCCAAGATGATTCAGCGTCATTACTTGTCGCCTTCAAGCTATCAAGCCCAATTACATAAGAAAGAATGCAGTTACCAACACCAGGAACGGTTTCTTCCATCCAAGATCGAACCTGAAAACAAAAAAAAAAACAGATGTAATATACATGCACTCTTGATAAGAAATGGAACTTTCAATTACGAGCACTATAAGGAGTCATTTCAGGCGAAGCAGAATCTTATAGAGTCAAATAATGCTACTACATCATAGACATTTTAACCATAGGCGCACCAGAAACTCTGAAGCTTTAGCACGTTGAATAGCTCCATGTCCTCCATATGATATCTCACCCCATCCTTTCCAACCACACTCCTGCACAGAATGTACGAATTATAGAACCAAACATAGGTTGCTCTTCAGTATCAGTCTACTGTTAGCATCATTTTCTTTGGATAAAAACCTTTGGAATCAACCGCAAGAGTTTCTCAGGCACAGAGGTATTAGCAAATGGTTTTGCTCCACTGCATTGTACTTTGCAGTCTGACAGAGGAAGGAAAGAAACGTCTTGAATATCAATTACCTGCAAAAAAGGATTTCAAATCAAGTGTTTCCGCTATTGTTATAATTGTTTCTTCTACATTTTGTACCTCTTAACTTACCACATCTGGTGTAATGTAGGCGCTAGGATCAGCAATTTCGTATAGAAGTTGCTCGGCGCAAGTGCTGGTGTTTAATATTCCACCACTACCTTCAGCCTTTAATACACAAACTTTTCCGTCATAGCGAATTTCTGCATAAGGAAGTGACAAGTCCTGGAGGAGAGGGAAAGCCATGTCTCTATACTGGTCACCTAAATAACATTTAAAGAATCAAGTACCGGTAATGAAAAAAGAATTCTACTAATAATTCCCGGAGCCAGAAAGTGTGAAGCGCACCTGGATGCATGAAGTATCCACCAGTGAGCTGACAACCGCACTCCAGAAGGTGGCCAGCAAGGGTTCCCTGAGCTAGCAGCTCCAAATCATCCCAATTCCAACCTAGTTCATAGACCTAACGATGCAACAAGGAGATGATCAGATTATATAGCCAGAAAAAAAAAACACTAGCCTATTGAGTTTAATTCAAGCCATTAAGGAGATTAATGATAAGATATGATTAAGAATCTGAACTAGCACGACATCCCAGCAAGTTATGTGGTATAACAAGAAAAGTGGAGTGGGTAGCAGTTGTTGGATAGGTAGATCACATAAAACATGACTCACCATTGGTGCCAAGAATAAGGCAGCATCAGCTACTCTTGAGGTGATTATTACGTCAGGTTGGTACTTGTCGAGGCATTCAACAATGGGAGCTGCTCCAATATAAGTGCTAGCACCCTTCAGAAAGGGGAAAAAAACATCTCAGGAAACCCACCACATATATCACTAGTGGAGGGAAATAAACCACAGTAATCTGAAGTTGAACATATTTAGTTACTCTCGTAAACACAAGTGCCTAGCACCCTTCAACAATGATAGTCACTAGCTAATAAAATCCAAATGCGATAAGGAGTGAGGGGAACAGGATCCTACCCCCTCAGAGCAATATTGACCCCCAAAAGTTGACCCAGAGCCTAAACAAGATTCAGAAGCAAAGGTTAGACACAGAGTGTAGCTTCAGGGAAGAAAATATCTTGGACAAAACTCTAATAGTACCCGTTTCAGAAGGAACCTCATGAGCCACAGCAACAGAGATCGTGAGGCCTAATTCAGTGGCAACCTCAAGAACTTTCTTTTGAGCCCCGACAGGATCAACTACAAGTATAATAATTTATATGAAACAGAGAAAGAAAGAAAAAAAAGAAAGGAAAGAAGGATGAGATCATACTAGCACCCATGTTAGTGATAATACAAGTGCCTCTCTCCACAGCCAAAGGTAGTAACAAACTCATCCACTCTGAAACTGCAAAAAAAAAAAGAAAAATGATAAAACATCAGCCACTCACTCTGTTGACTGACACTATTATATATATATAAATAAATAAAATCTGGAAAGATGCATACCGCGAGGGTCGTAACCGTGACCACCGGGAGAAGACATAGAGAGCCAGCGATCAGCTAAGGTTCGTTCGGCTAAGCACTCAAGGACAAGATAGTTCATCTCTTCCACTCTCTGCAGTAGTTTGAGAGCCGCCAATGGCCTGTCTCCGCCGAATCCAGCTCCACATCCCACGTACACCTTCTCCTTTCGCCTCTTAGGGTTTTCTCTCTTTATGACAAAATTGAAATCCAATCAAAACCATATTATATCATCAAACAAACTTAATCATTGAGTGTTTTTTTTCCCTTACCAACTTAATCACACAATCGCAGAGAACCTCCTTGTTCGCCATGTTAAGCACAGGAGATTATGTAATCTGCCAAATAGATGATCACCGATTGGTTAAAAGGAATTATTTGAATTTTGGAGAGACGTGACGTGACGGATTCGAGTGGCCGCCGAGTGTGGAAGTTTATTAGTATTCTTTAGTATTAATTTTTGAGTTAAAGAGTGTTTAAGCTTATCCCATTTGATTTTAAAGTAATAAAGAGTACAATATTTTTTAAGTCCCTTTGCCTCCAATATGCTTTACAAGGTGACTATTTATTTGTCGTCTCTTTAGGTACTCCTTGTGCACGAAGTTAGTTCTTGGCACCTCAGCCAATTTAAGGAGCACTGTATCCCCCCATCTATGTACGTGCAAGTTAGAGCTTTTGTTATCCAAACATGATCTCAAGTATGTATGTCTTCCTCTATTAATCTACTTTCTTTTGCATCATTAGCTTATAATAGTCAACTAGCTGCTTAATTTTTCGACAGGGAAGAAGCAAAATACTTATCTATTATTATAGTATTAAATATTACCATTTAAGAAAAGAAAAAAAAAGTAGTGAGATGAGATATTGAATCAAAGAAAATACATAGAGCCAACAAGTAAAACGGTCATAAAATGAAGAAGCAGTAATAGCACAAGAAACACGAAAAGCACAAAATATATGAATAAGACTGAAACGCATTAGAGATGCATTCAGAGATTGACTCTGCCTTTGATGATGTCGAGGCTCATCTCGCTGGGGTCTGTTGCTTGCAGTTCAACCTGAATCCCATCCAGTTCCCTCTTGAATCTGTCCTTTGAGCTTGCGTACAACATCTTACTCCTCACTCTTGACGTATCTGGCGACCTGCAAAGCATGCCTCAAACCGATGTAAGCAAAAAAAGTCCATTTTCTAATCATGAGAGGAAAAAAAAAAAGAGAGGGTTGTGTACCATGCGATGAAAAAGATCTTGCTCTTCTGGCAGTTCTCAGGAGTGGTGAAATCGAAGTCATAGACAGCATATCGGCACTCGTTCTCAGGCATACATTTGGTGAAACTCTCGTAAGTTTCTTCTGGATTCCCAACCATATCTATCTTCACTTGCTGAGCCTTCTCATCAATTTTGAACACAATAAACCTATAGTTTCTCTTTGCTTTCAACTCCAAGAACTTGAGCTTGCACTCATCGTTTACGTGCATCCCAGACGCTGAATTAGCCTGCCCACACACACGCATATATATATATTGTCAACATGATATGATCGACAACAACACATTACATGATTGGTAAGAAGAATGAATTTGTATGAACTTACCATTTTCGCTGCTTGATGGCGATCAGAAACTAGAGGAGGAAGGAAGTAGGTTGGGGTGGGTCATGAGGCTGGTCACGTCTTATAAAACCAAACAAGACTTTGATGCTTGTCACGTTGTGCCCCATATTAGATAATACTAATTATTAGAGGAAGGGTCTATATTTTATTTATACATGTAGCTATGTGTATGTCAAGCACATGAGGTGTGAAGTTTGTTCCGGACATGATTGAGAAGTTGAGGTTTCATGATGACCATGTTTTTTTCTTTTGTTTTGACTTTTTTTTTTTTTTAATTTCCCCAGAAATGGTGAATGCAAACATCATATTGTTTGTGTTCAATTGGTTAGCGTTGACAAGTGTTAAACATTGTGTACTAATTAAACATTGATGGTAGAGTAGAAGCTACTCCCATTGGTTTTTCAGTTGATACAACACAATAGGATTGTACGGGCACTTCGAAAGTGCATGCATGTACTACAATATATGAAAACAAACAACATTAACAGGAAGGCTAAAGAAAACCTTTATAATTGGGTGTTGTGGTGTTGAGCTTCAACATCTCCTGCTTGAATAATAGGGTGAGAGATTCGGTATTCTTCCTTGGAGAGTCCACAGTAAACAGCTTTTGTGCCTCCATAGGTGACGAAGTTCCAGCCAAAAGCAGAGCCTCCAACGATCGTGTCGTCACCAAGAGAGTTGTGCTTATTAACAGTGCTTGGCTCGGGTGTTGGAGTGACTGCCTTGCCGTTGGATAAGGAGGAGTGGGTTGTGTTAGTAGTTTTCTCACGTTTGGGTGTTTGTCCAATCATCTCTTGGTACAGCTGAAGCAAAAGCTTCATCTCTGCAAATACTCAGAATAATTAATAATTTTCATTAAAAAAAAAAAAGAACAGTGTTGTTTGTTGTTGAGCAGAGTGTAAGTGTAATGAGAGAGACTCACTGTCTTGAATCTCGATAGCTGCCTTACAGTTTCTGAAGTCGGGAGTTCGTAGTACCTATGATACCAGAGATCATACACACTCTCCTTTCAAATCTTTTCACATTTAATTAATTCTAGAGAGAGAGAGAGAGTATTATTCGGTCACAAGAAATGCATCTTAAAATTGTCGAGGGGTTACCTCGAGAACGTGAGGGCGAAGATCTTTGACAAGGAGACGAATCTTGTAGTAGTTTGAGTTCTCTATCTTTATCTTCCCTTCCAGCCCTCTCTTTCTTCCCCTTGACGACGGATCTGTTGGAGCCACCACCTGAGCTCCTCCTATATGTGCCCGACTCGGAACCGGCGGGCTATCTAAGTCCATCGCCGGCGAAGATCTCTGGTCTGCTGCTGCTGCTGCTGCTGCTGCTGTAGGAAGCGGAAGAGAAGAAGTAGCGGAAGGAGGAGGAGGAGTTGCGGTGGATATCGATTTCTCCATTTTCAAAACAAAGGGGTTTTCTCAACCGTAGCAGCACCTGGGATCTTAAAACGACCGCGTTGAAGAGCTTCTGATTCGTTTAGGGCCTACTCGGGCCCATTATCTTTTCTTTTTATTGTCTAAACGATGCCCCGTGTACATACATCTATCATTCTGATAGAGCATAAGCATAAATGTGCATGACAGACAAGCGACATGTATAGCTGAACAGAGAACTGTACTTTCTCTAACCACTCTACTTATTATTTGACTGAGATATATGTGCATAAAAAAATTAATTCAAATCCTGCATAGCTCAATATAATCATTCATAATTTCAATTAATATGTTTTCAAATTCGCTGTTACATAATATGAGACATTCACCTACTCATCTCTCCAAAGTGATTGCTAGCTAGTACAGAGGGGGATGACTTCATCTATCTATCTATCTATCTTCACAAAGTCAAGCACAAGTTGTTCCAGTAATTCATTTAGAATCAGTTCACTAGTCTCAAAGCCAACGCACTCAACCTCACATCTTACGTCTAACCACCAGTTCCCGCGCTTATCCATGTCTTCTCTCATGATTTCGTCCACCGATTCTGCAAATTGCTTCGGGGAGAGACGACAATACACCTCTTTCTGAACCTCGTCAACAACACTCTCCTCACTGAATGACAAGACTTGGGTTCTTGGTTTAACAAAGGAAACCCACTGAGGAAACCTGCATAACTCGAAGATGAGTTCATTGATGGAGTCAAAGAGGAGCTCATGGTTATGGTTAGCAGCAGCAGCACTACAAAGCTGACTTGGATAGAATGGTATGTTGCTGAACAAAGCCGGGTTTAGAATCTGGTCGGAGAATCCTGTTTTCAGGTACATATCTTCCCAGCATGAGTCTATTGCATCCAACACCGCTTTAACGTACTTAAACACTCTTTCTTTTTCATCCATTGGATCATCTTTTCCTTCAAATTGGTTACACAGAGTCTCTCTCTTTGCTTCACCTGATTTTTATTTTTATTTTTGGTTGAAGATGAGTCAATGGCAGCAGCTCATAACTAATCTTGTGTTCAGCAGTAGTAAGTATAGTTTTTCTTACCTCTTGCTGGACTAATTTCATATTGAATGAAGTGTGGCTCAAGAACTAATTCATATTCGTCGGTTCTAGATATATAGTGAGATGGTGAGTCCGCAGAGATAAGAGATGGTTGTGGTAAGCTCTCTTCATGGGAGCTCTGTTAGCAACCAAAACCAAACAAAAGCAACCTATAATAAGTCTGCTATGTTTTGTGTGAATCACAAAAGTATACAAATTTTGTAAACCAACCAACCTCATGATCTTTCTCTACATGAGAAGCTTCAAGTTGTGATATCTCAAAGGTGACGAAGTTGTGACTGCTATTGGACACGGAAGGGCTGCTACTATCTTGGCTTAACGAATCACTTTCTTCTATCTCTTTATGCAGAATATATATCAAAGACACACCCATTGTTAATAAAATATAGTTCAATATGTTTCTCAAAAATGGGGGCAATATATATAAACAAAAACTACCTGCCAATGGTGCAGACTTCATAAACTTGTCTGAAACAGATCTGGAAAGCAGAGTTGTATTCTTCTGGTCCCCCAATGGTTCAGACTTCATAAACTTGTCTGAGACTGAGACAGATCTGGAAAGCAGAGTTGAATTCTGGTCCCATATTTTTCCAGGGCTCCTAAAAGGAGATGAATACCCTGAAAGCAGCGATACAATATTTCCTCGTGTATATTCTTCACTCGTTCCCAAGTTTTGATCGGAGGAATCTCCAGTATTCTTAGAAGACAGATCATGTTTCTTCTTGACGACATGGTGTTCTTGTTCTAACCTCTTCTGAGATATTGAAGTCATCCGCTCAAGAAAGAAATGATCTTTAGTTGTGAACGTTGATAAACTATTTCCCTTCTCATTCTTCCCCTGCAGTAATAGTAACCTCTTATTGTCATGTTGCGGTTTCTCCTTTTTGAAAGAATGTTTCAGTTTCCTCATCATCTCAGAGAGAGACATATGCATATTCTTATTGGTTTTCTCTCCTCTCATATCTTCATTTGGTGGTGGCGATGATGCTCTCTTCTTCTTCTTCCTTGTGAACATACCAGATAGCAACACCTTAACTGATCTATCGCTTCTCTTTTCTTCTTCTGCAGCATGGTGGTTTTCAATTTTCATTTTTTTTTTTTTTTGGATAAAAGACTTGTAGAATGAATTGCAATATGCAATCTCAGAATTTCTTTTACAAACAGACAAAGATTATATTTTAAAGCCAGAAGTTCTTTGTTATAATTTTGTTGCTGACAAGTCAAAAATTCTTCAGCAAACAAATTGATTGGTCATTGTTTTTAATTTTAGAAGAAAATCTAAATGCTATCTACTGTTATTTGACATCTGTCTTTACATATTTAATGCTTTTATCTAAATCAAGTATTATATGTATATTGGTTCTTGTGTATATCATATTTTGGATGGAATAAAACTGATTAAAGGTATAATGAAATATATTTATTTATTTAAAACTTCTAAAAGAAGTAGCATATATATTCGAAGACCAAAAATAGAATTACATATATACTGCTTTTGGTACATAATTGAAAGAATATGGTAGGATTGGATTACCCTTAAAAACTCTGAGATAATATATAATGTAATTAAAGGAAAAGAATATGCTAAGAATTGTATTTTATTTTTATTTTTGCTAAGAATTTCTTTATAAGGATTAAGACAAGACGGGGAAAAGAAAAGGCGAGATCTATGTCAATAGGAGAAGAAGAAGCACTTGGTGAAATATGTTAACGTGGGACTTAGAAAAAATCAAAGTCGAGATTAATTTTATCGATTATATAGTTGCATGTAGCATGTGAGTAAATTATATCATTATCGAGATTACATAGTTGCATGCAGCATGTGAGTGATATATCTTTATCGACATTACATAGTTGTATACGACATGGAGCCTGGAGCCTATGAGTTATATGAGCATAATGCTTTATATATTCGATCTCACATTAACAATGAAGTTTTCTTGTTGAATAATAGTAAAGCTATATAAGGGAAATTTTGAAAACGAATTTTCTATCTAGTTTGTGGTTTCTTGATTGACACTTTACGTTTGAGTTTGTGTATGTGTATGTGTATGTTTTTTTTTTTTTTTTGTAGTTCCTCCTTTTTTGCTTTGATTGTCCTCATTTGCTGTGATGAGTGGATTTTATAAAATACAAACTGTTTGGTTCTCTGATAAAAACAACTTGAAAGACACACGGCTTAACCCATATACAAAACTTAGATCAGCTTTTGATGTCAAAAAAAAAAAAAACCATATACAAAACCTTGCTGTTTTTCTTTAACCCGAGACACTTGTCTGCTGTCAACACATACGAAAAACAACCTGTAGTGTGTATCTTTGCGTTTCTAAATTAACACACGTCCCTTTCTATGGGCCAATCTAACCATCATTTTACTAAACATGGCCCAACAAGGGTTTTTGCACACGTGAGATTTAGATAGATAACGGGACGCGTGTACAAACAGACAAATGGGCTTTTTTCGAACGTGGGATGGTTTTATTGGCCATTACACTGGTCTTAATATGAGGTCGGCCACATAAGATTTTCGAATTATAATTATCTAATGGTTTTACTGTAACATGCCGTCTTGTCGGTACGGTTCACACGGGATTTAATTTAGAAATTAATTAAATAGAAATTAGAACTTATTGGCTAGCCGGTGATCGGTAGATTTGATGTACATATCGCACTCATGTTCCACGCACATGCAAGTTAGCTCAGATGCATAAAATCGGTATTTGTATTTATTTTAAAATGTCAACTTTTGTGTTGTTAAGGAAAAGCACTTAATTAAACATATAGAAGATTAACATCATTTGAACTTGTAATGATCAGTAACACACATACAATGATATCCTCTTCATTTGTGGTGTATATACATATTGCAACTTCTAAGGTTCTTATATAAATTATCTACGAACTTATCGTTTACCTGGTGATTGCCAAGATATTGTAGAATCATATATCTAACACCAAATTTATAGTTTTCACTGTATCGTATATTAATCAATAAAGTGTGTATAGATGAGCTTTTAATAGAAACGAGAACATGATCTGTGCACCTGCGCGAGTTTTATTTTTTGAATATATTTTATATAGTTTTAAGTTTATCTGATTCGATTTTATGTTTAAAGAACAATATCAAAACTATTTTTTGTATTAATAGCATCAAGCGGTGTATTATGTAGATGTAACCATGCAATGAAAACACTAATTATGTTTGTTTGAAGTGTAAAATCAAATTCACACTTAACGGTCTGCATTAGAAAAAATAAGTTGAGAGTTTAATTACTTTTGACCTTAATAATTATCCAGAAAAATTTCCAAATAAAATACAAATTTCTAGAAATTATGGTCTTGACTTTTAATTTTTAAGTTACGTTAAATTCAAACTTAATGTTGGTCTTACCTTTGCAACTATGAAATATTTTATGATGAAAAATTTCATAAATAACTTAACAAATACTTTGGTAATCTGAAAGAGTTTATGTATTTAAAATATTTTTACATTTAAATCAGTATTTTTAAATTCAACCCGAAGCGCTATTAAACCAGTGATCCGATAATTCAATTTTGATTTTTTAAAATATTTATATTTAAAAATCAATAAAACTCGAGACTAACGGATTGAACCGAAAGATAATTGATAGGTAACATTAAACCTGTAAAAATAAGATTATTTTTTTGTTTTTTATATTATTTGAATTTTTAATTTATCTAATAATTTGAAAGAAAATTGTGAAAAATTATTAAAGGGTGAGATCTAATATTTTTTATTGTTTATACATAAGATTAATTATAATATTGTTTGAAAACATGAATAGTAGTATAAAGAAATGAGTATATTGTTTGGACATAATATTAACTATAGTGTTGTTTGGAAATATAGATAATAGTATAAAGAAATGAATATATTGTTTGAAAACATGGATATTAGTATAAAAAATAAATATATTGTTTGAAAGTATATCTAGTAGTATAAAGAAAGAAATATTAGTAATTTTAATATATGTTTAACTACAAAGTAGAAAGATATATTTAATTTAAAAACTTACAAAATAAGTTTTAGGTCCAACCTAATGTTTTTGATTTAATAAAATAGATCACATTAACTAATAATCACAGCAAACAACATTTGATCAAAAAAATAAGTTTTGAAATATTTGACAAACATAATTATGATATTATATAAAATGTACACCATTTAAACAATATAAAAATCAGAAACAAAAGAGTCAATCATTCAAAACATAAAAAATGTAGTTAAATGTCAGCAAATTATATATTGTATGGTTATAATTATTATGGCTTAGTGTTAATTGTGTTGTATTCATTTTGTACCATTCCCGTTCATGACTCCACATGTGTTTGTTCTACGAAAATATTTTGTTAATTGTCATATCATCACTTTGATAGCTATAATTCGAAAAGAAAAATGTCGTACGGACAAATGAATGAAAATTGATTGTACGAACTCGAGGAATAGTATGGTATTAAGAAAATCACGCGTCCCACGCGCAAAAAGGGAGAGAGTGGTAGCAAAAGAAAGTCAAAACCACCGTTTCACTCTTTGCTTATCTCTTAAAACGACATTTTTGTTGTTGCTAACTTTTCATCTTTCTCTCAGACAAAGAGTTTTTTCCCTCTCTCTCTCTCTCTCTATCTCTCTGGTTCCTTGTACCTTCCTCTCCAAATTTTCTTCATCTTTCCTCTTTTATTTATCTTCAGCCAGACTTCTTTATTCTTTCTTCTTAGCCATACGAATTGGGGGAGTCAAAAGTATGATCCCGCGGAGATCTTTGAGTTGTTTATGGTTTGTTTTGGGGTTGTTGTACAGCGCTAGTTTGGTTTCTGGTGGAGACATAGTTCACCACGATGACTCGCTTCCAGAGAGACCTGGTTGCAACAATAATTTCGTATTGGTGAGAAAAAAACAAAACTCATCGAATTAGCTTTGAGTTTGGTTTGTGTAGTCTTTCTCATGCTTTTCAGTTGTTTTGTGTAGACAGAGTTCAGGTTTTGGGTGGCTTTAGAATTAAATCTGTATGATTGCTAGCTGTTGACTTATTATTTGTCCTATCAGCAGATAGAGAGACATTGGGTTTATAGAGAGGAAATTTGATATATTTTTTTGTGTGTGTTTATATTCAGATTTGTCTCTCTACTTTTTTTTGTTTACAAGCTAAAAGTTGAGCTAGGTAGCATTACTTAATGCAAGATAGGAAAGTCATTGTTGTTGGAACTCTCTTTACTTTCTTCATATGTTGCCTAGTTCTTCTGTTAGACCTATTTCTAAACCGGATTACTCTTTATTTTCTGCATAAAGCCAATTTAGTTTCCCTGTCAAGGTAGCATATCATCTTCCAAACATAATTCCAAAGGAACTCTCTTGTTGTTCTTTTTTTTTAGATCAGATTACTCTTTATTTTCTGCATAAAAGCCAATTTTAGTTTCCTTTGTCATGGGAGATTTGAAGATAGCATATCATCTTCTAACATAATTCCAATGGACAGGTCAAAGTCCCAACTCGAGTCGATGGGAAAGAAAAAGAGGAGTTTGTTGGTGTGGGTGCTAGGTTTGGGCCAACCTTGGAATCTAAGGAGAAACATGCTACCCTCATCAAACTCGCCATTGCTGACCCTGCTGATTGTTGCACCACCCCCAAATACAAGGTTACTCAATTTTCTTTCCTTTTTTTTAGTCAATTTTGATCCTTATTTGCCGCAGTTTTGATTCTTATGCTTGTTTTTTTTTTTTTTTTTGGGTTGGTAGCTTACTGGAGAGGTCATTCTTGTTCACCGTGGTAATTGCAGTTTTACCACCAAAACTAAGGTAGCTGAAGCAGCTGGTGCCTCTGCCATCCTCATCATAAACAACAGCACAGGTAATCATTCGACTCTGTAAAATTATTCCTTCCAAATACTTATTAGAATTCTCTAGCTATCCTCCTTGAGCTTTGCAAGCTTGAATGTGGCTCTTTGCAGATCTTTTTAAGATGGTATGTGAAAAGGGTGAAAACGTTTTAGATATCAACATCCCTGTTGTTATGCTACCTATTGATGCTGGTAGAAGCCTCGAGGAAACCGTTCACAGTAACTCCGTAGGTAAAATCTTTAGTTTGAATCCCAATCTTACCTCAGCAGAGATTGGTCGTCTTATTCTAGTTTGCCATTTACTTGACTCTATTTGTTCAGTTACTTTGCAGCTATATTCCCCCAAACGTCCAGCAGTTGATGTGGCTGAGGTCTTCCTATGGCTTATGGCTGTTGGTACCATTTTATGTGCTTCTTATTGGTCTGCGTGGACCGCTAGGGAAGAAGCCATTGAGCAAGACAAGCTACTAAAGGTGCTCACTAGCCTATTTATATATCTTAAAATTAATCCACCGTGCCAAGGAAAATAAAAGTCCTTTCGCTCACCCATTGTATTATAAATATTGAACTGCAGGACGGATCAGATGAACTTTTGCAGGTATCAACCGCAAGCTCTAGAGGGGTTGTTGAGATCACTGTGATATCAGCAATTTTGTTTGTGGTGGTTGCTTCTTGTTTCCTCATCATGCTCTACAAGCTTATGTCATTCTGGTTTATAGAAGTGTTGGTGGTACTCTTTTGCATTGGTGGCGTAGAGGTAATCGTGTCATTCTATCACCAATTGAGTTTATAACAGAGAGTACTTAGTGGGATTAAAAGTTTTGTTGGTGCTGTCAGGGGCTGCAAACCTGTTTGGTCGCTTTGCTCTCATGGTATGTATTTTTTTTCTTGTCTCTTTTCACTTATATTCACAAAGGTTTATATCACTCGTCAAAAAGTTAGGAAGGGAAAAAACGGGACTGACGTTGGATTTTTATTATAGTTTGGGATGGTTCCGCCGCTTTGGAGAATCATATGCCAAAGTTCCTTTGCTGGGTGCAGTCTCATACTTGACGCTGGCCGTTTGTCCCTTTTGCATAGTATCTGCTGTTATCTGGGCAGTTTACCGCCAATACCCTTTTGCTTGGATTGGGCAAGATATTCTTGTAAGCACGCTCTCTTAACTGACTTTAGTTTGAATCCCATGTATTATGTATGCCTCTTGTACAAAGGCTACCCATGTGCATACGTATGTGTATAGAGAATTGGGCTTGGCTTGTTCTCTACAGCTGACAGAAGATAATGTTTCATTCTTCTTGCTGACAGGGAATCTCGCTGATAATCACAGTTCTTCAAATCGTCAGGGTACCAAATCTGAAGGTAATGTCATCAGTTTTTCTTTCCGGATGCCTCACCATCTAAGACCAGCTTCCTGTTTCAGACCAGCATCACTTTACCAGTTGTTGCTTCCTATTTGAAATGTAATGTTAACAGGTTGGAGTTGTCCTTCTCAGCTGTGGCTTCATGTATGACATCTTCTGGGTTTTTGTTTCAAAATGGTGGTTCCGTGAAAGCGTGATGATTGTCGTAAGTATTTTTCTGCATTTCCTTTGTTCATTTTCATTTTCATTCATACCTCCTTTATCGGTTTCCCTCAATACAGGTAGCTCGTGGTGACAAAAGCGGAGAGGACGGCATCCCAATGCTACTAAAGATCCCACGTATGTTTGATCCTTGGGGTGGCTACAGTATCATTGGCTTTGGCGATATCATCTTACCAGGACTGCTTGTTACTTTTGCACTAAGGTTTGCTCTACCTCTAGCTGTTTGCCATCGTTTAAGTAGCAAAAAAGGAAACCTCTGTCATTATTATTAAGGGATGTGATATTTTGCCCTCTAATTTTCCTTTCCGCGTTTGTATGGTTTTATGAGGCAGAATAGCTTTTCCTTATCTTAGTGTTAAAATTGCAGATACGACTGGCTGGCAAATAAGAGGCTCAAGTCTGGTTACTTCCTTGGGACAATGTCTGCTTATGGTCTAGGTATGATCCCCCCCTCCCTCCCTCAAGTTGGAGGAAGAAGACAAACTAATTAATTTCTAGTTGATCATAGGTCTTCTCATAACATACATTGCCCTAAATTTGATGGACGGACACGGGCAACCAGCTTTGCTTTACATCGTTCCATTTATACTTGGTAAGTCCTCAGTTTTGGAAACAATAAAAGCTAAGCCATAGAATCTGAGAATGGCTTTTGTGGCAAATTTGCCAGGTACTTTGATAGTGTTAGGTCATAAGAGAGGTGACCTGAAGACCTTATGGACAACAGGGGAGCCCGAGAGGCCATGTCCTCACATTCGCCTTCAACCTCAATCTTAAAAGAAGCCCCATTGGGATCGGAACAGATGATTCTCTAGTTTTATTGTTAATACACAGACACACTTGTTAGGTTTATATATAAATATATCTATCTCTTCCCCACCCTCACCCCTTACAGAACCAGAACAGACCTCTCTACACATCCTCTTGTCTTTTACTCGGTTCATTTTAACCACCTTTTCTTACTTGCGTCTCTCTTCTACTCAACAAAGAGAGAAAGTAATAGACTGAGTGAGATTCTTGTTACTTTGGTGAGGTTGTAGCTAGAGGTCTCATATGTCCTCCTTCCCACCACCTTGCAGTGGGTCACAAAAGAATTTTGATCCATCACGGATCGGCCCATTAGATCCGAGGGTGACAATTTGAAGGGCCAATATCTTGTCATTAAAGCTAAAAAGACCACGGAGCTGGTTGTCATAACCCTCACTGAACGAAACAGCTTGTGTAACGCATATCCATCTCAGTTGCTAAAGGTGATTGATTGGCTTCTTTTCAAACATAATAATTGGTATTCTTCTATTAATTAGAGTGTCTGTCAGGGAAAAGCCAGTATAAATTCACGTCAAATAACATCAAGCCGCACTGATTTTGTTGTAGTTTCGCCAAACTAAATGTCTAGATCACAAATAGATATCAAATGGTAAGAAGCCTAAATTTTCATGTATTATATATTTGGCTTCTTGTTTTTCACAATACAATACGTTGTCAACCGTCTTTTTAGTAGCTTTATTCAAAATATAAAGAATAGAAGAGTAAATAATAATTTGGAGATAAGAGTTGGGGTTTGCGTAGTAAGTGACACATTCATCAATGGGAATCATGAATAGGAGTAAGTGGAATTTTGCCACCGTAGATATCTGGAAGTTGAGTTTCATCGATGTCTTCAAGCAGAGTGGGAGTCAGTTTCTTGTTCTCCACGAAAACAATCTGCCCCCAAAACAAAACAAAACAAAATGTAACCATCGAAGTTTTCAGAACAACATATAAAGTGTCTAAATAAATAATAAGAGATGGTGTTGATGTGCGCTTGAGCTAAATATATATACCTTTTTCTTGGTGTTGGTGTCAACAAACGGGTAAATCACCTTCCATGCGGTCATGAAAATGTAGGGAGCACGAACAAAATAGAGTTTATCTAGTCTCTCTGGATAGCAATCCTATTAAAGACAAAAATAAGTTTTTTTCTTTTTTTTTTTGACTTTCAATTATTGCATATCAATTTGTGAAAAGGGAAATAGTTATTGCAAGGACCACAATTACAGAATCGATATATAGGTGGTTCGGCAGTAGTTGCCAAAAAGTAGTACTATTATTATAGTGTAAAGGGTCTACGTCTTTATTGTTGGTCATTGGACCCCCAAGAATTCAGGATACAATAAAATTCATCTTAAAGTTAGCAAAAGACTATATATGTTTGTTTTGTTTATAGCTGCTAACGACTTTGACAAATGACTGAAGATTTATTAGGGTTTATTTCATTCACACACAAACCCTAAAATAGCATTATATTGTGTGTTTTTTTGGTTTGAGGGGAATAGACAAAGGTAATGTTAATTACCTGTAAAATGGAGAGAGCAGCAAGGTAGCCCCGGATGTCACAATTAGAATATCCCCACCCTTCTAGATCTACTATGGCTCTGAATTTTTCTTCACCTCTTGGCATTCTTAATTAAATGCAAAAAAAAAATGTTGCATTAGAGGTATATGGTTTGGTTTAACAATCACTTGAAAATATTTGGAAATATTATAACCAACCTTGCACATATCTTGTCCAGCGAGTAGACTACAAAACCTGCGGGAAGAAAATAAAGAGAAAGAGAGGTTGGCATGATGATATGATGACAGATTTGGTGATAGAAAGGAGGATGACTCACGCTTGAACTCCTCAGGGTTGCCTTTGGAAGGGTTGTGTCTGTTGCCAAGGATAACAAGGATAGGACGACCCTTCTTGTCATGTCCCTGCATGCACACTTTCTTGTGCGACAGATCATTCGCAATCTCTGATTCTGGTATGTATCCCTTTGGCATAACGGTTTTTTTCCAAGCAAGGTACTTGAAAAATAGTGCTGAAGCCTTTTCAATGTCCATGTCACGCGCACGAAGAAACCTTCTGATCATCAGGTCATCCACTTCCTGCCCCAGATTCAACAACATTCATTATAAAGGTGGCAACAACACACACAAAAAGAAACAAATGCTTTTTTGACAAAGTCAACCGTATGAAAAATAAGTCAATTCAAAGCACTTGTCAACCTTAGTGGAGGGATCTTGTCGTTCGCAAAGAGCTCTCATAATGCCGACTTTGCTCCTTTCCGTCTCATCTTCGATCAACGGCCCATTCTCGTGCTCAACTCCAGCTGATATTGCTACACTCTCCACCACTACTTGTTGCTGCTTGTTCTCCTTTTCCATTCTGTTTCTCAACTCGAGATTGGGTGAGAGAGTGAAAGAGAAAGAGATTAGATCTTTGATCATTAATAAGAATAGGCAGCTGAAGAAGGGATAAGTAGCATTCAATACGGTTGGGCTCCTCTCCCCGTCCACGTCGACACCCAACTTCTCTACGCATTTATTAACTTGTTCGTTCAACTACACTCTTAAATCTTAATTTATACGTAGAAGAAGACAATCTCTGCCACTCAAACTCACAACTAATTGGGTCTTACTTGGACTCACAACTATGCTTGTCAGGACTCAGATGGGCTTCTTCATAGCTCACGACATAATCAATTTCAAAATTTCAAATTATTATTATTTACTTAATTCATTTTAATTAGGTGTTTTTATGCATTATGTGTATTGATAAATTTATTTAATTTAAATCATATATTTTTTAAAAAATAATTCAAATTTTATTATTTAATACCAATATTTCGATATAAATATTGATTTAGCTAAACATAATATTAAGATAAAAAAAATAATTTAATTTATTTTAAATTATATTTAAGAATATATGTATATACTTAAAATTAAAAATGTAGATGGATTTTTTTGTTTCTTTTGGTTAAGTTATATTAAATCAAATGGTATAATATCAAAAACAAATTGATATAAAATAATGTATAATTATAGAAAATAAAAGTAACAAAAAAAAATTCTAACATTTATATATATTAAAAGGAAACAAATAGTATTACAATTAATTTTTTTTATTTCTTAAAAATTTGAATAAAAGTTTGAAATTCTTGTTTAGTAATAGAAACTGCATGATTTAAAAAAAAGACTTAAATAATATTTCATAATTTGTAAGATATTTATATTATTATATTTTTTGTAATTTCATATTAATAATGTTGTATGAGTTATTATCATATTATAAAAGTTTTACCAAAAATGAAATCAACATCCTTTAGTCCTCTAGACATTATTTTCGAAGTGATTTCATATATATCATTTCTACAATCAATTTCATCAAAAAATATGACATGACATATTAAAATTGATGACATGATTTACAGTTAAATATGACATAGATAATTATATTTAATGTTAATTTTAATTTTTTGGTAATTTTTGAAAATATGATAATAACTTATCATTATTAAAATAAATGTATTCAAATATATTAATAAATAACATAATGATAGAGATATAAAATATTTTATAAATTTTGCAATATTATTTAATTATACTCTTATAATCGTACAATTTTAAAAATATGTTTGTCTGAGGTTCCTCTGTTTCTTCTTTCTGTGGACAGATGATCTGTTTAGCCCACATACGTTAAGATCATTTACATATTGGACTTCTTTCGGGCTCTTTAATTTAGGAGTATGGCCTTTTTTCTTTATCTATCACATAATAAGACTGGGAACAAAAGATACATTTGGCAAAGAATTCTACAAATTTTATTCTGATCCATCAGGATTTAAGAAACATACATAAAATATCTAGAGTGAATTTGGTAGAAATTAGTAAGTCAGAAGGGTCACTGTGTTGTTACGATGGATGGCCAACCATGAAACATTTTAAATTTTATTACTTCTTCATTGGTCAAACTAATCTCGTCCAACTGGATTTACACAATCCATAGTTTATTAATCTTCACTTCATGTGAACTTACCATTTGTTTCCTTCTTGCTTTTTCTTTCTGTAGAAAAAAATACTATGGTTATTAGCCCTCTGTCCTTAATTCTTTTTTTCTTGTTTAGAACAAATTTGATGCTATTTAGTTACTTTGAGTTAGTAGTTTAGTAACAAATGATGAAACACATCCAAACTTATGTAAAATAGAGTGGTAAATAATCCACTATGTAACACTATATTTCCAGAGAAAATTAGCCGATTATACTTTAATTCATATTTTAATATTATTTATTTCGGGTTTATCCCACATCTCCAGAATGTTGAGGTCGAATGTTGAGGTCGACTATGTTTCTAATCCAGTTCTCATATTTTGCAACAGTAATGAATCTAAAAAAAGATTCATGAAAGATAAATTATATAATAAAAGTGTCAAAAGGATGGGTTCAAATCCGGGTTCAAAATTATTTTTTTAAACCAAATGAGCCACTTTCTACTATGATGTACATCTAACAATTTTTGTTTATAGTATATTTGCGGTGTCAAGTGACATCATAATTCCCAATGTGGATCCGTTTCTGTTTGTAATTCTGATTTCTGTGTTGAAGTGTGGACATTTATGTTTTAATGAATGGATTTGTGTTTGAGAAAGAAAAAAAAAGCTGATTATATAAAATAAGAAGTTATCCATTTTTGGGGTAATATTACACAAGTCTGCTTTTATTTGTAAGGCTGAAGTGGTGGGAATGTGGGATGCTGGCACAAAGATGTTCCAACCGCCAACTATCTACCATATTACTGATATATCATTGACCATGATATAAGGAATTTCTTATTATTATTCATTATGAAGACTGCTCACTAAAAATTAAAAATGTGGTTAGTCGACATGCTCAAGAAAATAGTATATTGACTTGTTTAAAACTAAGTTTGCTATAGCCCAAAATAGTTAAAGCATCTCATTGGATGCACAACCGTAATATACATATAGTCATTGGTTAAAACATGGCATGTATGTATATACATATAGTCATTGGAAATCAATATATACACACACACACACATTTAGCCAACTACTCTGTTTAATATCTCACGCAACTAATTATACGGCCCGTCTATTTAGGTGAGCTACTCAAGCTAATTGATTTCGTGTCAATCAACAAAAATAAATGAAGCCTGGTCCTAAACCGCCTGACTTAAAGTATATTTATAAATTGGTCTACTATATTATTCACCCAAATTTCAATTATTATGTTTATATTCTAATTATGTAATAGCCTATATACTTAAGGTTATAATTGTTAGAAAAGGATAGTTAAAGGATAAAATCACAAGGAGGTCATATTAATTGGAGTGATTAGTGACTTGAGCGCATTTAAAAGAGACACACCTTCCCTCTCTTTCTTTCCCAAATTAACCAAAAGAGAGAGAGAAAGAAAATGTCTCCGGCGAAGAAGAAGAGTCGAAGCTTTCCTCCGATAAGTGAGTGCAAAAGCGGAGGAGAGTATGATTCGATCGCTGCAGATCTCGACGGGACTCTGCTCCTCTCTCGAAGCTCCTTCCCTTATTTCATGCTCGTGGCCATAGAAGCAGGTAGTCTCTTCCGTGGACTGATCCTCCTTCTATCTCTCCCCATCGTCATCATCGCTTACCTCTTCGTCTCCGAGGCTATCGGAATCCAGATCCTCATCTACATCTCCTTCGCCGGCATCAAACTCCGCGACATCGAGCTCGTCTCTCGCGCCGTTCTTCCACGGTATACAACAATCTTGATTGATCATAAGTTCTGTTTCGATTTATTTTCCAAGAATCTCAATGAGATTATTTGAATAAAACAGGTTTTACGCGGCGGATGTGAGGAAGGACAGTTACGAGGTGTTTGATAGATGCAAGAGGAAAGTGGTGGTCACTGCGAATCCCATAGTGATGGTTGAGCCTTTCGTGAAGGATTACTTGGGAGGAGATAAAGTTTTGGGAACAGAGATCGAAGTGAACCCTAAAACGATGAGAGCCACAGGGTTTGTGAAGAAGCCAGGTGTTCTTGTTGGAGACTTGAAGAGATTAGCCATCTTGAAGGAGTTTGGAGACGAATCACCGGATCTTGGCCTCGGTGACCGCACCTCCGATCACGATTTCATGTCCATCTGCAAGGTACGTACCTAGCTAGACTCTTCATATTATCTCATTTTTGTCCCAAGCTTATTTTACGTTTCTTGAATCGTTTATAGGTGGCTAATTAATTAAGTTGAGTGTCTAATACTTCAAAAACCTTTCGTAATCAAATACTCCAAATAAATGCAGTAGGACCTATTAATGCCGCGTTAATAAGGGTTCACATGATCGATCTAGTGCGATTATAAAAAGAATAATGTCTCCATCCAGTCTTTTACATTTACAGGCTTCACATGGCTATTTACGTTCAAATGATTTACTTACTTTGTATGTGTCTGTCTAATAAACACTAGCACGAACAAAATCTAGTTTAACTATTCTTCTAATGGCTGACAAAAAAAATGTATTCTTCTAATGTTTTTGAAAAAAAAAAACCATTAAGCAGACAGAAAAACTTATATACATACGTATATGTGAATTCAATAAAGGAATGTAATAAATTTCAACTTACAGAAAGTAGATGGATAGAATATACTACTAGTTTTCATAAATGCTTTAAACCTATCACCAACTACCACCCCCCACATAAGTTGGATGGTCCATTTAATGACCGATCCCATATGCCAAGGCCAACATTTCTTTCTTTCTTTCTTTTTTTCACATATACCCTGAAACTTTCAGTATTTTTCCTTTTTCTTACTATAAACAGTGAAACTTTGGAATCTTTTATATGATTGGTAACCAGTTGCTTCTTTTAATTCTAACAGGAAGGTTACATGGTGCATGAGACCAAATCAGCAACAACAGTCCCCATAGAGCGTCTCAAGAAACGCATAATCTTCCACGACGGTCGTCTAGTCCAACGTCCCACGCCTTTAAACGCCATAATCATTTACCTTTGGCTTCCTTTTGGCTTCATGCTTTCAATCTTCCGCGTCTACTTCAACCTCCCTTTACCCGAACGCTTCGTTCGTTACACTTACGAGATCTTAGGTATTCACCTCACTATCCGTGGCCACCGTCCTCCTCCTCCTTCCCCAGGCACACCCGGAAACCTCTACGTCCTTAACCACCGCACTGCTCTTGACCCCATTATCATCGCCATTGCTCTCGGCCGTAAGATCTCTTGCGTCACTTATAGTGTCTCTCGCCTCTCTAGGATGCTCTCACCCATCCCTGCCGTCGCTCTTACCCGTGACCGTGCTGCCGATGCTGCCCGCATGAGAAAGCTCCTAGAGAAAGGTAACTGTAATTAAATAAACATTCACACCAAA